AACCCTAACCCTGACCCTGACCCTGACCCTAACCCTAACCCTGACCCTGACCCTAACCCTAACCCTGACCCTAACCCTAAGTATTTGGGACCATCTGGTACCTAGGATTCGACAAAAAGTCACAACGAAAGCAGCGCTGCACACGAGCAAACACTGCAAGATACCATACACAACAGTCAACATCTCACATGTCGAATAGCGGGACATCTCACTTTTCTAGTTACCAACACAAATGAAGACGCTGGGGGCACCACAAATCCCACAAGTGCCGGTTGCACGAATATTTCAGTCTGCAATACGGTACGTTCTATCTACAGTTGTGGCATCTGGGCCCGTATACAGGCATTCTACACTAAAGAGCACTGTGCAATGTATGTCTAAGTCTAAAGGATCTCATTGGCCTCTACCTAAGCTGACCGCCCGATCGTGATCGTGATGGATTTGCGATTGGGTGTGCTAGTCCGTGCTTGTGATCAAAATGGTCTGTGAATCCGTCAGCGCCGTATCAATGGGCTGGTAGATTGAGTTCGCACAGCCTTCTGTTGGGCCGCCGCTAACTATTCCTTGCGCGATCGCATGAGTCGTCGGGCGATTTGGGTCTGGCTGAAAGAGCGGTCCCCCACTGTCGCCAGGGCGGGTACACACATCAGCAAGTGTCATGCCCTTTACCTGAACTCCTGCCGATTGGTAATTGGCAGTTGCATCGTAAGCCTTGACCGGTCCACATGTGTACTTTGTCGTCGTCCCGCTCTTGCAAACCGTTGCGCCAATAGGAGCTCTTCCGTAACCAGATATCTTCAGAGTCTTCCCGTTGTGGAGGGTGATCTGCGTCGTAGGTCTAGGCGCAGCGATGTCGTCAACGTGAATGATACCCCAATCCATGGGCCCGAAATTGTTTTTTGTATTTCCGCCGATGAGCAAGGCGTTCCGAAACCAATTGTGACCACCACTTTTCAGGCAATGACCAGCCGACATCAGGAGATCCGCCCCCGATCCGTCCTTGACCCACCACCCCATAGAGCAGCTCATAAAGTTTGCTGAGGTGAGCTCTTCGCCGTCTAAGATTCCAAATCGCGGCTTTATCTCTGGACTACCGTGGATTAGGTTGATGCCAGGGCCCAAACCGGACACTTCATTGATGAATACATCGGTATTTGTGTTGTTGCGCTTGATGTCCCATATACTGACCGCAATATTGTTGGCTGGGACGTCTACGTACCAGGTGACCCCAGTAGGTTGGTGTTTCTGAGCAGCTGCGTCGACCTGGCTTTTGAGGTCCTCCAGGTCTGATGTAGACCTGGCGACAAAGCGATGCTCGATATCTGGATCCGTTGACAAATCACGTCGATGTCGGTGCTCCGACTTGATTGCGACGATCAATTTTCCATTTCGCCGATCGATCCAATGACCTCCATCTACAGTGGAGTTACTTTGCGAGCTCAGGAGAGTGGCTTTTGTAGAAAGATATTGTTCGCGCTTGAACAGAAAGCCAGCGTGATGGTGGTCGACTTGTTCTGCTTCGGCTATCGATGCGATAATTTCAGCGTGGACGGGATGTGGGTTTGGAGCTGCGATTGCCGAGCAAATCAACAGAGCCGATGTCAGCGTTAAGAAGGCATTGGCAGCGTTCATTTTTTTCTGGTTAACTTGGAGATCTGGAAGTCTACTCGACTCACTCCGACCTATTTATCGTCCGGCAATTCGCACTGCAGTTCGGGCGGTAAATGGCGACCCCCGCCAAGTTCTTTGGCCGTCCCGCATCTCACTGGAGTAGTTGTATTGTGCTGAAACAAGTTCAACGCAAGCTTCGACACTCAAAATTTGCTTGCTGTTCGTGTCGGTGAAAGTGCAGCCCTCCGTTGGCTTCGTGTGAGACTTCAAAACTAGCCTGAAGACCTATTTTAACCAATGCCCACATACGTAAGTACCAAAGGTTTAGGATATAGATACTAAGAATGTTCAAAATCAAAGCTGAAAGTGGTGTGGCATTGTGGTGTCAGTCGTTCGCCAGCTCCGATCGGCCTTGTCCCGATCCAGTGGCTCCATCGCAAGAAACCCGTCGAAATACTCAAGTCTCAAAAGACAGTCATGCGCTTTTTGAAGAATGAGATTGCAGCTGGTACATGAACGCATTCCGTTGATTTAGTGACTTGATTTGATGAATAGGTCAGTACTGCAAAAACACAACTGATTGTTTTTAGCTAATCATACTGAACTAATACATTGGAAACCCTCCAATATGAATATTTACGCAGAAACGCACAGACATTCTTGAATCGCAACATATTACCCCTGATCGGTTGCACTTGCATGACTTGCAGTCTTTGATGGCCCCTCACATACGAGATGCCGATACACTCAAGCAACGTTTTGAAAATTGTGTTTTCACCATACGATGCGAATTGATGCAACCAACCCTCTGATACAAAAACGACATGTCCTTGCGTTACAAAAGAAAGAGAAGGAGGGGCAATCATCGAGCATCAGCGAAACCCACCGTGGCATTGGTTAAAAAGAATGGTTTAAAAGCATGATGAGAGGTCGAGGGTGCCACCCATCAGATAGTCTGCCGACCTGCTTAACCCTAAGTCTGGTGAGCTTGCAAACCGGGACAATATCGCTTGCTATAATTGGTACGACATGTTTCGTTGGCCCTCAACCCAGGGTCTATGAAATAACGATATTTTCCAAAGCTTACTGACGATTTCTGAGGGTTGGGTCTTTACGAGCAACGCAGAAATAGTTATGTCTTGTAAACGGACCTTGGTTATAATTAGCTTATATCTCTTCACAAACCTAAACATTTATTATGAATGCTCATTGAAATTATTTGCCTGAAACGTGTAAGTAGGTGCTAATTATCTAAAATCCACTCAAATGTCCAGAATATACAATTTGATTCCCTGTCAAGGGTTGGTCGGATATCTACAAACTGAGAGCGAGCATATGCTTCGTTCGCTATCTGCGCACCTTTGAATGGCCGCCTGCTGTGGGTGATTTCATTTTTGGCACCGCTAATTCACATTTTAGATGGTGATCACTCCGTCGCTCCTGTTCGATGGAATCTGGAACCAATGACAAAGAGTTTGAGACTGTCTTTCAGTTCGTCTCGCTGAGAAGCAGGCGCCACTTGTTCGTACCCACTGGGGGTTAAGTCAGGTTTGGTTCCCCTCTACACAATGTTGCACATGTTGAGCTGTCTTAGTGTCACGACATCAGAACAAGGCCATCTCCTGTAAATATGGTGCATTCGCTGCACGACAAACTGCCGATACTGCAGACTGCATTATTCGTCCTACTTGCCAGGTCCATAGTCTAGTGCACCAGAATAATGGGAAGTAATTAAGCGGTGTACACACCACCGGCCTCCTCTTTACTGTACGAAGCTCAGGATCCTTCAAAATACAACGGGCGTGAACGGGCCAAGTATATTTATGGCGCATGGAAATACGCTATATGGGCACCAAGTTTACACCTTTGTGTTCATCAATCAAGCGAGTATACTTCTACATCGTCTACAAAGAGAAGGAAATGGCTTTAAAGTTTAATGTCTCTTCCGTAGTCCTTGCGTGCACTGTACTGGGATGTGTCTATCGCAGAACTGACGCCAAGAGGTTACAGGTACCAGAGTCGAATACGCAAATGACGGTAGCCGCGACGTTGGGCCTTGGTATGACTGCTGCACTAAATATTGCCCTTGATCGCGTGGCTTCCACAACAAAAGCCCTAATGCAGGCGTGCTGATTCTGTCTCTATCGTTTGTGTTCTACACTGAAAATGTAACAGATTGAAGCGTCAAGCCATCACAAAAAGAAGGTCAGTTATCTTAGAATAGATGCATAAAAATCTATAAATCCCCAACTATGTGCGCTCCAGTTCTTTCAAGAGAGATCCATCACCACATGAATGTTCTCATCGATGCCATTGACATCAGATACCTGCACACCACTATATGAGTCTGAGGGGCTTAAGGGGTCGGGCACGGTTATCTTCTTGATATGACACCCTGCGTTCGATTTGCATCCAATTCCTCTCTGTCACTGTCATTAAAGTGAGTGAGGCCTCAATGGTTAATGGTTGAAGGTTTTCGGGTCACGTATGGTGAAGAACTCTACAATGTCAGCGGCTTTTTAAAGCGGAGGGTCGTCATATCATCATGCGGACGTGGATGGGCTTTCAAAGCCTCCTAATTCAGCCCCTGCTACTGCCCTTCCACGGACCCCGTCAACAAAATCGGACACTGCCATCCTGCTGTTCGATTGCATCCAATTCCTCCCTGTCACTGTCTTTAAAGTGAGTGAGGCCTCAATGGTTAATGGTTGAAGCTTTTCAAGTCACGTATGGTGAAGAACTCTACAATGTGAGCGAGCGGCCCTTTAAAGCGGAGGGTCGTCATATCATCATGCGGACGTGGATGGGCTTCCAAAGCCTCCTAATTCAGCCCCTGCTACTGCCCTTCCACGGACCCCGTCAACAAAATTGGACACTGCCTTTAGCTTTGTGCAGCTGTCAGGTCCCGTCAGCTACTGCATGGCGGAGGTCCCGGTAGAGGTAGTCATCGTTCTTTTTTGGACATGTCATTGTTAAAATTGGACGCTCCATCCATAAGTATGAAGAGGCCGTCCCATTTCCTGATCTTCTCATCGTGGACTTCAAGAGAAACAAAGCATCAGCGTCGACCGCCTTCCTGACAATGCCACTTGAAATCATCGGCGCTGGTTTTGGACGTACGGGAACAAAGTGCGTTTGATTCCGTTGCTTGTTACTGCCTTCAAGGATCAACTGCGAGAAGGAGATGCTCATGTTTCAGCACTGATTTCTAGGTCCCTTCAACTTGCTTTGCAGCAACTCGGCTTTCCGTGCTATCATATGACCGAGGCAATCCAACATCCAACGGATTTTGCGGTGTGGACAGATGCTCACGATGGAAAACAAGTCGACTTGACCCAAATCTTCAACAAATATACGGCCACGCTGGACTGGCCGGCATGCGATTTCTGGAAGGAGCTCATGGAGGTCTATCCAAATGCCAAAGTCATTCTCTCGGTGAGAGATGCGGACACGTGGTACGAAAGCGTAAGGGAGACCGTATATAAATTGAATATGCTCCCGAGAAGCATAATTCAGAATTACCCAGACATAGTCAACGTATGTCGGTCGTGCTTAGAAATGGTGTCAAACGATCCTAAAGCATGTTTCTGATTTGCACAGGTCAACGAATATTGCCAACACAGCATTTGGGGTTTGGGAGGAAACTTCAAAGGCCAGTTCGAGAACCCGGCAATCGCCAAGAAAATCTTCCGTGATCGCCTCGAGGAGGTCAAGCGTAGCGTGCCCTCGGAAAAGCTCCTCGTCTTCGAGGTGTCGCAAGGTTGGGAACCCTTGTGCAAGTTTTTGGAACGCCCAGTACCCAATGAACCCTTTCCTCGAACCAACGAGCGGGCTCTCTTCCAGAGCATGATCCAGGATATCATGACTGGCAGACCGATTGACAAACGGCCGAATTTTCCAGATCTTCGGCAGAACATTGGCGAGGCTGGGAAGGTGGATGGTGTATCAGAGAATTGAGTGGGTTAATCAGAATGACCCCACTGCTAGCATATTCAATTGGCAGCTCTTTGTCGTATATCACAATTGTATATTTCCTAGTCGAGAAGATATTTTCTCGTCTCCAAATTGCGATTCATACAACTTAATGATTAGGGTCCAGTTATTACTTTCCCGCCAATGCCAGTGTTGTTGCAAGACCAGCGACAACGACGCATAGTTCTTCCCAAAGCTGCGTAACAAACTACGACCGAGACTTTCAGAGAAATTCAAAACTTGGATTCAGGCATTCTCTCTTCCTCCCGCTAATCTCTTGGATGGCAGCAATCCGCCGGCCACCTACACTATGTTCGTTTGTTGGCTAGGATAAGGCGATCTTCATCTGATGGACAAGCTCGTGGAGGCATACGTGCCTAAACTAGCATTTGCCATCCTGCCGTGCTTCCAAATCATTGAAGGGTACAGTGTCTGGACACCTCTCTTCGGGCGTGCTGCACAACCCATATGTTATGTCGGTACCTAATAGTTTCGGGATGCAAGAGTTAGGAATCCTTGATGTTGACTGGCCACGGCGGAACTGATTGCCATCTCTCTAACGTTTAGCACTGGACACCCCATTTTGCTGCCTGTTCGATCCCATATATATATATGCCTGTACGTTGGTTACCATCATGTCACTGGTGATTGCTTAAGGTTACGCATCGGGGACAAACCCAGCCTGTGATTGATAGATGAACCGGCATCTACTGAAAACTGCGGACGTGTTCGAATCCGCTCGTTCGTCATCTGCCATGTCATCTGGTGGTAAACTATAGGCCGCATATGTTAATGTTGCATTCTGTATATTGGAGAAGCTAAGGACAGAGGGATGCCTTTCAATCATCAGGAGCGTTGCCGACAATGGGGAAGATTCGAATCGACCTGTGCTCATTGTCCGATGATTCTTCTTCGCCATACATCAGCAAAAACGTTTACCATCAGAATCTGACTGCTCTGGGGTTTTCTCGTAGATTACCCTATGTGAACTTCAAATGGGCAAGAGAGACCCAAATTGTCGGAAAATGTATGCCTTATAACGGCGACGGGACAGGATAGGTCAGGGGTAAGTCCAGTATTTACATACGTAGAGGTCGAAACCACAGCTTATCTGAGTAATAGATATCAAATTTCTAGTTCATCTGGGCATGAATTACCGGTATCGCCAGATCCCATCAACCTGCGATCAAGCAATGACTGTTGCCTTGATGGTTGAAACGTCAGCAAAAATGAATGGTTCAGCTACTGGAAAGGGTTGAAACAACCAAAGATAATTCATGTCCTCCACTTCCTATACAATCCTCCCACAGTACGCACTGAAGGGAGCTTACAATAACAGACTCGGAAATACTCAGTCCTATTGGCGCCAATTGCCATGCCAGTTGCTCACGAGTCCTTGATTCGGATCAATGATGCGAACGGGGACATTGAAGATAAAACTATCAGGCTATGTGTCTCGAATTTCTAGCTCAAATGACATAGTTTACAGAGAGAGCCGGGGGGTTCCATGGACCACCATTGGTATGCTTTACAATAGAGACGACAAGTCAGTGCCCACAAATGTGATATGACAATAAATTATTTAATACTCGAGGCTTCTTGCCAGAGTCAAGTTGTCAGATAATGATGAGTCTCGAATGATTCAAGTTGTCAGATGATGATGAGTCTCGAATGCAACCGAAGCTTTATCAGCCAAGATATTCTGGAGTGTGTGAGGGATGGGCGACATGCATAGAGGAAGGGAGGGGATTGATCATATCCTCCCAATAGTACCTTCCAAAGGTAAAAGGTAAAATTGCGAAGATGATTCAATCTCCTGTTGGAATATGTATCTTATTCACTGCAATCCTACACTCCATTATTTGGCATGTCCTCAGGATGTAGGAAAGACTAGTATACAAGGTCCCTACTATCCCGCCTGTGGGACCACTCGTACATATCGTCGCTCTGGGTTGCAATGAACCAGGTCAGGATCCGCTGGATGAGATAGTTTACAGGGGACACTTTAGACGTTTCAAAGACAGTTCGGTAATGTTAAATGCCCTGTGGCGTTCCAGCAACTTGAGTTGACTACGCTCATGTGCCATTGTCATGAAGATAAACAATAAAATGGGTCCACCTGCATCCATTTGATGAGTGGAACATGCACTTGTTTTTCTAGATAAACCCCTGTCTTGTTTGCTCTTTTCCCCTCTTGTCCTCCATCCTTGACTCTCAACAAGAACCAAATCATCAGCATTGCCAATCTCGCGCCGAGGCCCTCGTCCTCTCGATAATGACAGCATTGCCAAGCAACTAATACGTTGCTATGATCGCAGATATGTCTTTGTAGATATTTCCCATGCTTATTGTCCAGACTAATTCTGCTTTACAAGTATCTGAACATCCTCTGACCAAACAGCTTCGGAAAGGCCCAGTGAGATTTTTGTTGTATGATCGTGGACTAATCACCCGGTTGACCAACCGCGACGTATTGCGATGCAGTAGCTATCTGGGCTGCTTGTCGCCAGACCCAAGTGGTTCTGGTGTATTTTGACATTTGTTATTGGCAAAATACTATCGGTATTATTAAATTAGTGTTTCAAATAATCTGGCAGCCTAATTTGATGCTCGTATGCGTCCGCCTGCAGCCTGTGATCCCTCAGTAAATGTTCGATTGCCGAGTAAACTGCAGCATCCGCTCCTATCGTAGACTTGGGGGAGCTAACATGGTGGTTCAGGTGAGCGGCGAGGATGCTTGACGCGGTTGTGTTTTCCAATTTCCTTTTGGCCGCCTTTTTTGTCTCCTCGTTAACGACCCATTTTCTGTTACAGTTTGCTAACAAGGCCATCGCAAGCGCACTGACGTTTTGTATCGAATCAACCACAGTGGCAGCAGTAGTCTCCACCGAAGAGAAAGCCGCTTTCACTTCTTGCACATCATCCGCTGAGACGATGGGTACACCCAAGGCAAGAGCAACAAGTGCGTTGTCGATTGAAGATGAGAAGGAGAGTACAGTACTGGAAACTGCGATTAATAGCCGGTATCTCTCATCGGAGATGTATGGTTCTTCGTGAAAGGCACTTGCAACATCGTCCCTACTTCGGATTGCATCTCTAACGGCTTCTTGGAGGTCGCTTCCGTGAAGCGGAACCATCAGAAGTTTCCGTCGTCCTAACAGACTTGCAAGTGCAGATGCCACTTCAACGACCACAGGAGCATTCGTAGAACTAGAGGTGTATGCGACTACGCACGCCCCTGCGACGCTAATTGATGCGCTCTGGAAAGTCCGCATCCTAGCTCTAGTAATATCTCGAGGGGGCTTCAAGTACCCAGTGTCAATGCCACGGTCCAGAATATATACAGATTCCGGATTACGTCCGCGCTTGACAATGAAGTCACGTACATGTGCGTTTGCTACAAACGTGCGGTAAATATACTTTCCGCTAGCAGCAGACATGGCAGCGAAACCCCTCGATAGAGGTCCAGCATCGATGGAATGAATGTAATCATACACCATCGTGTTGTCAGGTAAGTGCTCGACCAGGGAGGGAAGTGCTTCATATCCAAAAACAGATTCCGTCAGTACAAAAGCTTTAATCCCTCGACTCTCTGCCAAATAGGTCAGGAACCGCGGAAAATCTGCAGTCCTTAGAAACAGGGGAAGACTAAATACATCATGAGTATACATGTAGTACTCAGGACGGATCTCTTCGGAATCGTGCAAGACGGCAGCTACGGTTACACGCCAACCGAGACGAGCTAGGTCGCCGACCATTTGGAGTGTTCTTCGCCCAGAAACATTTCCGCCAAAGCTGTCAATAAGGACCAACGCACTGTTTTCCGACATCGATGCAATCCAATTATCAAAGGGGCGTCCCCATCTGACAGTCTCGGAAGGTTGAGATGGGGGAATATCGTGTGCCGGCCATGTTTCCGAAGTTAAGGACGGATACTTTGAGCGAATGTAGGCAAACGTCTTGTCCCAATTGCTCAAAAGATTTGTCCACGTATGACCACTCCCTACTCGGTACCAGTACGAAAGTTCCGGAATGGTGGCTCCCCAGTTGCCGTTTGCAGCAAGGCACAGCCAGTAGTCATAGTCATCCCCACCACTATTGAGCGCGGGATCATAGCTGCAATTGACCGATGCAGAACGACGATACAGCGACCCTGAAAAGAGTCGGTTTCCTGATAGTTGGCGGGACCCCGTATGGGGACCGCTGAGAGTGGTGTCCTGGTAACTACCGAATGACACCATATACCAGCACACGATTGCCAAGTGCGGATTGGTTTCCAATAACCACACGGCTTGTTCGAGAGATACCAGCTCACGCAGATCATCGTCATCGAGGCAAACTTCATATTTGGCGTTCGACTAAAAACAAGCGGTATTGACTATTAGCATCAGCACATATCTCCGGCAATGAGCGCAACACACGTACATGCTGTCGTGCCACGTTTCTTGCGTTGGAGATACCCGGATTCCCTGTGTTATTAACCAGCACGATCCGCGGATCTGAGGCCGCTACTCGTGTGAGCATAGCCATCGCTTCCGGTATATCTGTATGGTCATTTACGATAATCCAACGAAAGGACTGAAGACTTTGTTGGAGCACAAAGGCAGCTGTATCACTCTCAAAAATCGGTTTAGGATTCTTGGTAACGGTAAGAATAGAAAGGATAGGCGTCGAGCCTGCCAAAGACCCTGACGATAAGAACTGATTGCGCGGTCTGGCAGGGTGTAGTGGAGTACGCTCGTAAAAGGTTGGCTCTGTCAATCGCCGTGGGCGAGCATTGGGGGACACTTTAAATGTAACAGCTTTTTCCTCGTCAGGGAGATTGTTCTGAGTCTTGATACTAGCGTCATATAGTGAACGGCATTCCCATCCTGTTTTCTGTCCGTCGAATTTGCAGCCAGGGCCTTCAAGCTTGCTTCTTTTGATCACTGAGCTCAGTAGAAAGCACCAAGCTATGACCTGCCAACAACAGGCAGCACGGGTCCCCCATTTCGATTTCCTGGCAACTGCACACGTTGATAACTGTCCCTTGTATGCATCTACTTGGCTATAGCCCTTCCCAGTACCAACAATCTCAATTGGTTCTTCCTTAGTCTGGCAGTAAATACCTCCAACAGCTCCAGCCATGACCAAAAAAATGCCGATCGTCACCGGGGATTGAGTACTGATATGGAAGTATGTCGGCCACCCATCTTGTTCCATAGTAGACGCTGAAAGGAGAACGATAACGGCCGTTCCAGTTCTAACAACTTGAAGGATTGTTCCTGAGACGATATGATCCAGAACACGCGCGTAGTAATTTCCGGCGACGGCGAGAACAGATGTAAGGACAATGAGTGATGGGATTGACCAATTCGTATTTGCATGCTCTGTTTGCGCAAAATGCTCTCTCGTGTACCCGACTATCAACATCGTGCCAATCGTGAGTAAGAACGCAAGGTGTCCGTACGAAGTACCGAAATCATCATTTCGGTGGGCCTTGGGTATGCGGGCCCCAGACACACTGCGGAAGAATATCGCAGCAACCACTACTAGCGACATGGTAACGTTCATTCCGGCGATTGTCTCCGCAGACGCTAAGGCAGCGCCGAAAAGCAGGATACCACGAAAGACCCAGATAGACAGAATGTGGGGAGATCTCGAGCGCAATGTAGCGATACATGGGTCAATTAACATCCATAGAGTTTGGAAGACGCCAATCGGAAGAAGTGCGATGCTCCTGTAACACAATAAACGAGACTGAATTGGTAAAATGCTCGACAGATCAATATTTTTGGGGTACCCAAGGCAAAACACTAACACTAACGTACCAATATTCAAGCGTGAGTGCGACAGAATTAATCAAAGACACCGCCCAAATAGACTGATCATTTTTATCCAAAGGATAATAAATGCCCAGCTTTTTGGCGATGCGTCTAGATATATGACATGATGATTGATGGATAAGGGACAGGAACAACGCGAATTCGAGATAGGAATCTGGAGGTGCTGTTGTGAAGAAGAGCTTGTTCGCAAGCAGTCCGGTAACGCTCGTAGCAATCGAGGCAATGATGGCCAGACTTCCTCGCATTGTCATAGGCGCATTGCACGTTTGGGCGAACGATCCTTTGATGGTCAGAGGAAACGGTGCAGCACGACGCGTCTGGTGGTAGGGCTAACGTAAACCGCGACGCGATCGTTGGGCACTCGTTGATGTTCACGTTATGTTGCACCCGCAGATACGTCGCTCCGACGATTGAAGTAGCAAGAGAAGAATGCGCATATGAATTGTCTATGGGCCTGCGATATGAGTCCTATTCAAGTTTCGTCTGTGCAGTAATTCACATATGCAGAATGTGTCAGGAAGCTAAGAGATGGCTTGCTAATGATCACCAATCATGCGCGTATCGTAAGCGCGCTTCCTTTTAGCAGCCCGTTACACCTTCTCCCGGTTGGTAGCTAGAAAGCACACACACTGCGTATACTCTCGAGCAATAGCACTTTGAAAACGCTCCCCGTCGGGCTCATGGCTGCTCAATTACACGCGTTTCTCACGAGTCGACCGTCAAAGATCAAGCGGGCAACCTTTTTCGCTTTATTCCTTTTTATATTTACCGTCGCATATTTCCACAACGAATCATCAGACCGCACTATAGTGCAATATGTTCTGACGCCCAAAGGACGGAAGGCCTACGAATGGCCATTGGAGGACGGTATAATAGTGCCCAAAACTGGGCCCTCTCGTCGGCATTACTTTACCACCTGGCGGTCGCGGGAAGACAAGATTCCGATCAAACTCGATCTTACCCTTGGAACCTTCTTTTATCATCATCCTGAAGAGTCATTTCACATCTGGTCGAACACGTTGAGTAACAACTCTATCGCTTCGTATCGCGAACTGGGATACGACCTTCACATTCAACAGTATGATTTCCCGACTCTTGCGAGACTATGCGATGTGTCGGGTAGTCTCGCTGCTTGGGCAGTAAATGGCACCTTCTTAGCACCTGGAGCCCCTCATTACAACACGCATGAATCAGATTTCCTAAAAGTGTGCATCAACTACATTTACGGAGGCCTGTATGTTGACGGGGACACATTCTTCCTGGATAGTTTTACTCCAGATGACATTCCCGCTGCTATCTTTTTTATCAGCGCGGACGAGAAACGTGGAGATCGTTGTCCTCCAGCTCCGGATCCCGTTACATGTTCCGCCCCGCATGTCAGACAGATAGAAGAAGGAGGCCGACCATATTTAGTACCTAATAGCGTTTGGTTCAATAGCAACCCCTTTGTCCTGCCCCCCAAGTCGCCGTACGCGCATGCAGTCCTCTCGAACATGGAAGCGTTCACCGATCCACACTGTTGGAACTGTATCGGCCCGAGATCCCATTCGAAAGGTTATGCCGATCTTGTGGCGAAAGGAGACGCTTTGCTTCTTCCTCCCCTTCTCCGCTCCTGCGACAACCTGGCGGCAGAGCACATTCCGTGGGTTGCCAAGGGCCGATGGGAGGAGACTTGGGGGTTATTTTCAGCTTGCCGATGGATCCATATGTTTTCGGCTGGCCGGCCAATGGACATCAACGAAAATTCTGTGTTTGTATCATTGATGCAAACGAATTGCGTCCCTGAAATTTGTTTGAAATATATGCCAAAAACGCTGCGTAGTGGATGAATATAGTGGGGGTTGTTAGGCGGTTCTGTAACTTGTAGAGTTAGGTTGAAGAGATTAGTTTTGCTTCTGTCCCAATGCGGCTCATATTCTCCCATTTTGCCCAACCCAATCTTGCTGTAAACAGATTACATTTTGGACAGTATCCTGTGCTCTTTCTATTCTTCTCGTATAAATTATGGTATCCGCATCCTGCACGGCGAAATATACCGCAGCTTATCAACAAACTAATATGCATACACTTACGGCTGCTCTCTTCAACATGCTGAATCTTTGAAGACAGCATGGCAGCCATCAAGTTGGAATCGCGTCTTGCAATCATGCCACCACACACTTCTTTCTCCCCAGATACTCTTGTCATGAATCCCTTTTGCTTCATTTGCCTTGCCCAGAAACTTTTCAGCATACTTAAAGCAGCCACAATTGAAGTCCCCATCGTAATCCGCCCAATATCTGTCCAATCCATATAGCCACGTCCCTACCATTAAATCTTCTATCTCATATACTTTCAGTTCCTCCGCATTTCGGCCGATAAATCGTACCAGATCCCATCCTACCATGTATGCAGCACCGACGCCGTATGGGTGTGTTTTTATCACTGTGCCACGAGTGTCTTGCACAAAGAGCGGATCGTAGAACTTGTGTTTGGGATCTTGAGGCAGCTCCGCATTCCACAATGTACCCCCATATATCCTCCTTCTTTTTTCCTTTGGCACTTCGGATACGGCTTTGGCCAAGCGATTTAGGCAAAGCACAACGTCATCATCAGTTTTGATGAGGAATTCCATCGACGTGAACTTTTGTGAGAGGTAGATAAAAAGTCGACGCATCTTCTCCCCAAGATGCTTGTATCCGCTAGGAGTATTCAGATAGAGGACATCCCCCTCCCAATGTGTTTGTTTTGACGTGTCTACTATAAAGATCCAGTTGAACGGTACGGTGGTTGACGTATTTGCCCCCGGTTCCGGTATACTGAGAGAGTTTTGGTATCGCCTCCACCAACGGCGACCATATTCCCGTCGAAGCATTCCAGCTTCATCATCAGTGCTTAGAACCGCAATGATCACGCCGCCGTTTGACCTGTCCAGATGTTTTGGAAGGTTCCCGTTGAGTGAGTTAATCAGCGCAAAAGATTTCAGGGCTGACGCAAGGAAGTTGAGACTAATGACAGCACTGACGAAGATGGCCAAAGAAATCAGAATCTTGTGCCTTGACCGGTATGTGAAGAAGCTGTAACCTGTTGGCTTGAGGGCTGGACGGTACATTCTTGGAGAATAAAAGAGGAGGAACCAGCCAAACACGCGCGTAAGGCCAATCCAGAGACGCGTCGACGCGTCCAACCCAAGTCCAAGTTATGCGCCAGCCATCTCCAACTTGACTCGAGAATTGCGAGGTTGTCCACAGCCTGACATGGAATTGGGATGGCTAGTTATTGCATATACATTGCGCACATGTTTTTAGTTTAGTGAATCTATCCAGACGTTTTGGCTCCATCGCATGCTCTCCGTCATGAAGGACGTTGTCCGATGCCAGCTCAAGAGTTACTGTTCGATTGCACTGCGCATTGAAGGAAAGCGGCGAAGTTGTTAATCTCGGCCTGAAATCTACGTGGATCTTTTCACTGGCGTGCGCGCAGCGAAGCATCCCGTTCGTTATCAACATTCAGGATACTGTTGTCGGTAATGACAAGCTACCGAGACCAACGAAATAAGTAAATATTGACAAAAGAGCCCTTGGGGGTACTTGTTTGAAACATGATCTTGCGGCTATCATCCGATGTTTGTAATGCCCGCTAACAGTCATCATACACCATTTGCAAGACTGGACTCCATGGGGCTCTTGCAGTGCAACAAGGGTACACCATTGTCGTGATAGCTTTGACCGCATCGACATCGGTGGGGACCGCCAGTAGCTCTCCTTTTGCCGTGAGGACTTAATGTAACAGTACAAACAGCAACAAAGGGCAGTTGTTGCGCATCAGAAACATTGCTGAGAGCCAGTTAAAATGCATTGACACGTCTAAAGGTGACTGTGAACCCTATCGCGCAACGGCGCTTGGGCACCGCTGTAGCTTCTTCTGTTAGATTGCATACTAATATGATCCACCCTATTGTTTCGCTGAACCTGAATTGAATATCCTTGTTATGGTGCATCTGGACTCAACCTATTCACGTTGCGGACCCAATCGCCGTGAGACGGAGGCCAACGCTGTGTATGGTACAGAATAGGTAGAGATCAATCTTCTCAATGAATAGAGCTTTCAATATCTTCAGCTAATGTCTTGAGTGCGTTGTTGCAGCATCTGCAAAATATGTTATTCTTATCCGCGAGCCTTGCGGATTTCATGCTCATCAGCGGAATGCTGCTGATGTAATACTAATTCATCCTATTAAGGAAACTGTGATATCCGCTTACCTGCCTTTCTTGGATTCATATTACCTTTCTGAACTAAATGTCGGGTTACGTAAGGCAGATCGGTCGTGTCGCGTTCAAACACGACATGGCTCGGACGCGTTCACCAGTCCTGGTGAACTGTTCCTGCATCGAGAGACGGCATGGGTCAACGACCAGCGTACCATCTTTTGGAAGGTCATTCTATTCGAATTCTGCCTCGTTCGAGGCTGCTTCTCCGGAAACATGCTCTCGTACTCTTTGCGGCATTTATACTCACCTGTTGCCTGGTCTACCATGCATCATTTTCTGCTGGACGTATCTCTATCAAGCACAATTGGTCTCTTTCCGGCACTGATGAAATCATTTCGCAACTCCCTTCTCAATCACCGGTCACCATCATAACCGCGTTTTTTCCGTTAAAATCTAAACATTCGACTTCAAGTTACAACCAATGGCTTCGCAATTTCATGACGAAAGTTTCTGGCCCCATGATTGTGTATACCACTCGATCATATGCTTCTCAGATTGCGACCCTACGAAAGGGATTCGAGCATTTGACGACTGTGATTGCAGATTTTGACAGCATATGGGAACTACCACCGAATCGAAACTATAGCGACATTTACGCCGATCAACATAAAATGGATCCTGAAAAACATCATCACACCCCTTCTTTGTATGCGGTCTGGGCGGCAAAATTATGGATGGTGGTTCAAGCGACAGAGTTGAATCCGTTTAATAGCAGCTATTTCTTTTGGGTTGATGCAGGTTCATTTAGGGATAGGGCGCATCCTTATCGTCTTTGGCCAGATCCCTTCACTGTTGACGAGATATGGAAAGGTGGTGGACCAGAGCGACGCAAAAGTCCTATCGTAGGATTAATTAACTCATGGGGCTCGCTCAATCAGTTCGAAAACGTTCACGAATCTGAGCCAGATAGTCTCTTGGACCAAACGGCCGACCGAATAGAGGGGGGTTGGTTTGGCGGGCCCATAGAGGCGATAACGTGGTGGGCCCATGAATTCTATCGCTTGCGGGACAAATACGCGGAAATGGGCAAATTCATTGGCAAGGTAAGTATCAAAAGGTTCACTGACTTCACCTCAAAGAGATATTAAGAGCATATGGGCTATCTATAGGATCAACTAGTGCACAATGCCATCGCTCTTTTGAACCCTCAGAGAGTTTTGGTGCTGGAAACCTATAAAAATGCAAATCTGCCGACATGTAAACTGGATCCATGGTTTGCGTTCCAAAACTATCTAGCTCATGAATCTGAACGCGTCCGGGGTTGTCCTCACACCCCCGCTCTTTCATTAGATGAGGCGATGGGCACATCATAATGTTAGATAATACAGATAGCTATCAAATAAGGGGCTCCAGCACTGACAGGAAAGCCAGAAAGTAGGCAGGAAAGGTATTAGCCAGTCACGGTTACGATACAGCGAGGTCACATGTCCACACCAGCTTATATTTACGCAAGCAGCAAAGTACAATGTTAGCTTTCAGCCAAGATCTTTGTCTAGTTCATTGCTTCATCCATTTCACGTTTTCCAATGGCATTGGCTATGATCTGAATCGGTTCGATCACAAAAATAAGTGATGAGTTACGCAAATCATCGACAATCTTTCTCCAGCGTACTTACGCAGATAGCCTGGCATCTCCTTCAAATATCGTGCAGCCTCGGCCCATTTCCCACCTTTGACTTCCTTCGATAATATTCGCAAGGTTGCGTACATGCACGGCTCTCCCAAGGCTGATCCCCAGTATCGCACCTTGAGAATTTCCGTTGCTGTCGTAATGCGCTCATAAAGATGCATAACAGTCAGATACGGCAGTCCGGTCCACGCCGCCGCAATTTGACCATATGAGGATCCCAAGGTGACGATCCGATGATCACAATGCATCAGCAAACCCATATCCCACAACCCGTCTGCCAACGATCCGCCTGGGTTATTGTTTTCGTTCGTGGATACCACGTCAATAGGCGTGTATATCACACGATGTTTTCCCAACATTGACGACAGCTCCTGGCGCGCCGAGGGAGAGTCTGCAGCCACAAAGAACCGGATATCATCTAGCGCAACACCAGATTGCATTGCCACTTGAAGAGCAACATCTGCATATGTTCTGATCTGTGGCACTGTTTTCTCGTTTTTCAAACGCCGTACGTGGATACCGATCGTATACTTTCCAAAATGTGAATACTTGAAAGAATGCACTTTGGCCATAATATCGCTGTGTATGCTGATAAATCGCCGCATAACGTGATAAAATATGCGGCCATCCGGGAACCATTCTTGCAAGATGGCCCGGTAATGTGGATTTGCTTGCAGAAGAGGGGCTGAATAATCAAAGCCGCGGACCCCCCATATCCGGTGAGCTCCATAAACCTCGTTCAAGTCACTCGTAGCCAAAGTCAGCCATGTTCTATCCCGATCATGATTCCCGTGTTCGAGAATGTAAATGAAAGTGCTTTCAGCGGACGAGGTTAGTTTGCTCTCGTACTTTGACCAATTGAGCTCGATTTTGGATTCAAAGAGTTCTGGGAGCTTTTTGTAGTCCTGCGGAAGACATTGAAGGCTATGAGCAACTAGTTACCCAGTTGACCACCCCTTGCCCACTTACAACTAACAGTACTCGTCCTGTAAGCAACGCTACCAGCATTCCATTTAAGATTTGAGGTATATTGTTTCCAAGGCCTGCCTGTAGAAACTCCACCTTGACGAACGCTGTATCGGCATCCTCTAGATTCCTTAAAGCCCGCTCATGCCGTTGGATGTACGCGTCAAACACATGGTCAAATGTCTTTTGCTGCGGTTGAGAGCGATTGGCTTGAGGAATGTCGCTGAGAAGAAAGACCTTTTCTAGGCCTTGTCGAGCGTATAGTTGGGATGTTATAGCAACAGAACGGGAAAAGAGAACCAGGCCGAGGAAGATTGACACGGTCACTGCGCCAAGTAGGAATAGTCGCTTTTTCCGGCGAGATCTACCGTCCACAATGAGGAACATGGGTATCTAATTAAGGCAGACTTCAACCAAGAAGCAGCGCTCACATGCGTTCAGATCGGGTTCAGATCATGTAGAGACGCGGACGCGCTCCACGTTCGTCAGCAAGTTGGCGTGTCATTTATCACCCAGAACAGTGCTTCCATTCTTTCACCTGAGCCCACAATGTTCGCGTGCGATACTGCAATCGAGCCCGACAACAGCCATGCAGCTACCTACTCCTAAAGCACCTACCCTATTTATCAGAAACGTCTTTTGCACTGCTCCCATTTATTGACGGTAGTTATCATTTCAAAAACTTGTGAGATCATCAAGAACCCTATTCATCTGCAGTGAAAGCTACCAAACGCCTTTCATGCAACATTTCGAGTATTCAGCAAGTAATGCAAGAACAGCGCTATTCATTTATTCATCCCTTGGTGGTCCGTATGCCTTAACCTTCTTCCAAACCAGCAGCTCAGCACCAGACCGCAAAGCGCATGTGAGATCACGTGTCCATTGCGGCCACTTTGGAGTGATGACATCCCTTCGAGCCCCGGTTTTTGGAGCGATTTGCGACTCTTTGAAAAACATCAAATGGCAGAATTACGAAGGAAATTAGTTATCGTAGGAGATGGTGCGGGCGGTAAAACGTCACTGCTGATACGGTACTCGAAGAACCACTTTCCAGAGGTAGGTCATCTGAAGAGGATCTACAGGTGTATCCGTGCTTGCCGACTCTCACTTGAAATCCTTCCGGTTGTTAACACTTTACTATATTCTCTCTCCCACAGGAATATGTTCCGTAAGTTTTTACGCAGTAGAAGAGCATGTGCTGAGCAAGCGCTGGGAGGCGAGCGTGGCGGAGAGGAAGGTTCCCACTAATGGTGCTGACCCCAACTTTATTTCACTAGAACTGTCTTCGAAAACTATGTAGCCGACGTTGTCGTCGATAACCGCCACGTAGAGCTGGCCCTCTGGGATACAGCTGGCCAGGAAGATTATGATCGACTCCGCCCCCTCTCATACTCCGACTCCCACGTCATCCTCATTTGTTTCGCTATTGACTCCCCTGATTCGCTCGACAATGTGGAAACCAAGTGGATTACCGAAGTCCTCCATTTTTGTGCAGGACTACCAGTTGTACTTGTGGGTTGCAAGAAGGATCTCAGGAACGATGCCAGAACGAGAGAAAACCTGGCCAGAGTCAGGCAATCTCCTGTGACTCCTGAACAAGTATGCGAATGCGTGAATTTTCGATGGCTGCTGATGTTATTTCCAATTGCTGATGGCTAATGTGCACCCAGGGATATGCCATGGCACAGAAAATTGGTGCTTATCGGTACCTCGAATGCAGTGCAAAGACCGGAGAAGGGGTCACCCAGATATTTGAACACGCCACCCGTGCCGCGCTGGCCGTGACCGGAAAGAAGAATAATCATAAAAGGAAGAAGGAAAAGTGTATTTTCTTGTAAAGGCGAAGCAACCTTTCAATCCATAGATAGTCCTGGTGAAAATCGAAAGATGATCCTAATCCCAGTTGTGGAATTGGCTCTGCTACGAGCATGGAGGCGGGTTGACTTGAGTAGTGTCAGATTGGCGTTTCTTTATTTGCTTGCCTCTCTTTTCTTTAGTGCACCTCTTTGTACAGTGTGAAATAAAACTAGCGCGCATGGCTTTGTGAACAAACCAGGTTCATTCTCATTCTAAGCCTTGAAGCTCTTTTCGTGCCAAGTTTGCAATTTCGCGCCGTTCGGCAAGCCAAGCGCTAAAGTCTATCAATTTGCTCGCTTTTTCCGCAATGTGAGCTACTCCCGTAATGGCGCTGTAGCCCTCCTTTTCCACTTTCTCCACTTCTCCTGCCAGATCAACTCCTTGCAGTCTTCCTTCCCAGCCAGCCCATATCTCCAGAAGATAATCCGCAAACACTATCAAATAGAAATACCTCACCAAGTAATTGCATCCGACCTCAAACAAATTCTGTCTCTTGGCGCTCTTCTCGCCAAGGGCTTCTATTCGCAACTTGTAGTCGTAAATGGCCCCTCGAAGATTTTGAATATGCTCACACGTATCAATGGCAATATCCGTCAAGCGTTTGGCAAGCTTTCCATAAGACAGTACTGCAACAAGCTGCAGGATCATCTTATACTCTCCATTTTGATATCGCTGACGGATGACGTCACTCTCTACGCTCGTCAACGGGATGTCTTCTGTTTCGTAGATCTGCCCAGGGTTCGAGATCAACGTGCTATTCCCAACGATCATTTCCATTAAGCAGGTGATTATCATCCCAGTTGTTGTTCGGCCACGACTAGGTTCACCAAGTAAGAATTGGAACCTACGAACACCAAATATTGATGACGTACCCCATTTGGCAATTAAACATTATGTCCGTGCTTTCTGTAACTCTGGTGAGGCGCTCCACTAGGCGATCAAACACGTCCGGAATCGGTGCTTGCTCATCCGTACTACACATAAGCAACGACGGGAAAGGGATCTTAGTCGTTCGCTATGTAATGTCATCGTTGGAATGCTTACATGGGTAAACGTAGGTAGTCCACTCGATAACCCTCCTCTTGAATTGAGCGGTATACCTCTAACGGAGTTTGGACGTCTTCTTCTTTTACTGTTTCCCAAACAGGCTACACAGTATAATTAGTAAAGCCAGAAGGAGTTACTTGCGAATTGAATTTACACAACTGACCACAATCGAAAATCCTTGGCTGTCAGCCTCTTCTTCATGTAGTAGCATCCGCCCTCCGTATTTTTTAATCTCCGCAATAGCATCCAACTTCATCTGATATTCCATCATCTCCACGCGCTCGTGCGTTATACCGGTAGCCTCCAGGTTCTGACAAACGCATGTTAATCAAATGCTGGCCGGTATGATACAAACAGAGCGCGAACCTTCATAGGGTCTTGGAAAAGCCGTAAAACATAAGGTCTCCCTGTAATAATAACAGGCTTCAATTCCATCCGCGCTACGCTGTTGCAAATTTTTGAAGTACCATTGATATACAAGACTGGTTCCTCTCGTAAACTTGTCCAGACCAATTGCCTTACGCCGTGAGGAGAGGCGCCCACCTTGTGCAGCACAGTTCTTATAGCGGTCTTCGTTGGCATGCCGATCCCATACACTGCTGATGCGCGATCGGTGTCAGCGCCGAAGGCTTTCCCTTGCATGCAAATGCCACGGACATTAGGAAGGGGTATTCGACGATAGTTCGGTGCACCTAGGTTGCCAAACATGAGCATTAGGTATCTGTACAGCACATCGTCTAAATCATACCATCTATCCGCTCTGTTAAGGAAAGCTTCTGTGCCCCTGGAAACATGTCATACTAAGAGAGGTATCAGTATGCATTGACAGATCTGGAAGATCTGATTACCAAGACCGTACCTTCAAGATGGTATTCTTGCCCATTACCGCACCGTTCCGCTGACTAACTACCTCCAGGACTTCCGACGACAGTGCAAGCCCATCCCCGGGGTCCATCTGCTCAACCGGGAGAATCGCATCCATACCATTCTCCAGTTCCATAGCCTGCTTCATTCCTTTGAATTCTGCATGAGAATCCAGCCAAAGAGTGAAACTCTCGAGTTCAACCCCGAAACCGGGCTCATTTTGATCCAAGTATGCCTTGAAAGCAATAAGAAGGAAATATCGTTTCAGGTTAAGCACACCTTTTGCGATGGCGTTGGCTTTGGTTTGCTCGTCTGTGGCGTGCTCCGCCTTGAGTCTGAAATCAGATGAATCCGATGTCATTACCATTTGCGTTCACTGCGACCATAGAGAGAGACACAGATTTTACGCTACCTGAATTCCTCAATAGCGTCTCTCAGATTATATTGCTGGCCGCAGGCATCGATAAACTCATCTACTACTCGCTTGCACTCTAAGCCGTTGCGAATCACTCGGAGCAGCGAGTGTATGATCGCATAGTTAAGGGGCGGTTTGACAGGAGTAGGAATTTCTGGCTTTAAACCTTTCAGCCAGTTCAACACGAGACACGCCACAACTAGCACCAACTGATTTTAACATCATCGCTTCGAGCGCAATACACTAGTGCACAAACAATACCTGTTCCAGTTGTCGATCGGCCCATGCCAATTTGGCAGTTCCTGGTGTTATGAATGAGGCTTTGGGGATCTCAACTGAATGAGTGACATTGAATAGCACTCACACCACAAGCGCCGTATTTTTCGGATCAACTTCGCAGATGATTCTCCTCAGATCATCAAAGTCAGTGGTTCCAGGTGGAGTCTCGGCTGTGACGGGAACCCGCCAATAGGCGAATTCAATGTCCCTGTCCCGGTAATCTTCCTTGCCTTCGGCTTTTACTAATTCGAAGACCTCTTTAAGAGTCAGTACGTTCGAGGGATGACAGTCCTCCCATTGCGCAACAACATCCCCGTTTGGCGTTTCGTTATGCAGAAGGATTTGATTCTCATATGTTTCAAGCTCGGACTGATGACAAAATATTAGGGAACACAGAATTTCCTGAGAAATCTGGCAGGTTGATAGCATACCAATGTGTCCATTTTCAGTCGGGCTTCCATCAGCTCAAGGCGATTCGACGTTATACCCGAATATGACTTTATGTTACGAAGAGTGACGTACTCGTCTCGAAGGACATAGGGTATGCCATTGATATATATGAGAGGCTCCTCCCGAAGATTTATCCATATGATTTTTCTTGTGGATGGTGAGTCCTCCTCAAGAACATGCATAACGTTTTTGACACCTTGAATAGTTGGTTGAGCCACCCCGTAAACATTCAAACCTGGCAGCTTCCTTCAATTTGCGGCTAAATTAGCACTATTGATAATGCAAAAAAGAAGGAACCACTGTGCTGGCTGCCGCATGAGCGATACCTGAAGTTAGCTGCTCCTTCAATGGTGTCTTGTGCCTCCTTCAACCAATGATCGACCTTAAGAATTGTGTGCGCGGCAAGAACTGTTCCCTTTCGTGACTGAACCGGCGAACGGGTGGGTTACTAGAGTACCAATGAGCTATCTAAAATGTCGTCAATCACCTTGATTACGTGCTTTTCCAACTCATACGCTGTTGGGCGCGTTTTGTCCCATCCTCTTCCTTTCTGAGCTTCCATGTCAGTCGATAGTAGTGAAAGATCCTCAATTGGTCTGAATAGCTGCAATCTTGGACCGTGTACCCGAAAATTCTCAAGCATCACGGATATCTCTTCAAACGTCGGTTAACGTCTACTTAGAGGGGGCTTGCCAAGGTTATGATTACCTGGTCGCATTTTCAGCCACTCAGTGAAAGACGGCTGATATCCCTTCAAGGAATGCTCGTCGATATACGAGCAAAACGCAAGGAGGAAGAAGTATCGCTCCAAACATCCTACTGCCTTTTGCAGTGACGTCGGATCCCCATCGACAAAGTACTCAACTCGATGCATGAGCGTAACTTCCCGGAGATTGATCATAATATCACCTAAAGGCGTGTGTGAGGATCAAGATCGTCGTAACAAGGAAGCGGGCTGCACATTACATCTGTCAATAACTTCATCCAGCAATTTCTTGTTGTGAGGACCGTGTGAAATCACACTCGCTAGCTGTGAGATGCATTGGTAGTTTCCCAGAATAGCATTTTTGAGATCTGCAATTAGTGGACCCCGGGCAAGGACCCAATCAAGGGCCGAACCCGGATGCTGTTTCGCCGAAAGACCTAGTAGCATATATAAGAGACCGTTCCCTATGAAATCCGAAAAGAAAATCGATATCACCTTTTTCCAGGACATACATCATCCGAAGCATTGCTTTATTCTGCGCTGTAGCTTCTTCCAAGCTAAGCAGATTAGCTTGCGACCCGAGGTTTTGGGTCACCGGAATCGGGTCTTCCTCTCTTCTGGCAATGAGCTGGGCGCGCCGGATCAGGATGGCCAATACCATGGCAAACGTTGCTAATCCATCGGTTACCCCATAATCGGTGTACATCAGTTGGCCTGCTCATAAGACTTACTCCGTCCGACACCCATTCCACAATTGAAAATCAGCGCATCCTCTTTGACGGTGTCTTTGATAGCCTGTACGTACTCGTCTATGTACCTGTCTTCTGGAGCTTGTTCAGGACTTACAGGAATGCGGAAGTATTTGATGCGGAAGCCCGAAGTAACAAATGATTCAAAAACTTCGCGGGATGTTTGGATATGGTCAATGGCCATCCAAGTCGGTACTACACGACCAGGTTCTGTGCACGGAACGTGAGTCTGCTTGAACGCTCCAGATGTATACCGGTAATGCGTACCCAACTCGTCATGAACCAGGAGCAGCCCTCCGAACCTGGCGGTTTCCTTTTCGATATCCTCCTTCAATCGCGACTCCATTTGCTCAAGTCTAGTTGCGCTGATCCCTTGCACAAACCTTATGTTCGTGAGGGGATGCTCGATATCTCGGATTACGAAAGGCTTTCTATTCAGATAGATGATTGGTTCCTCCCTTGAAGAGAACCAGCGGAGTTGGCTTGTCCCTTGCGACGTCGGGCCGCATCCCAGCAACGTAAGAATGGTGCGAATCCTGTAGGTGGTGTGCAAATGTGACTGCCATCCCTTTGATGTTGCGTGTAGGCCACACTTTTACCCTGGAATTGTCGGTTGCGCTACCCCAAAGATATTGAGGTCGGCAGAACGGAAGTTTGGGGCGCCCTGAAGATGAAAGTCGAGTCGAGGGTTCAACCCTGTACAGGTCGACAATGGCGACGAGCACGTTAAGGTTTTTTCGTTCCAACACCACCGTTCAGTCAAACTCACCAGTGTCAAAGTGGTCACTTTTCAGAATGGTCTGCCGGCAAAGCACGGACCCTGTTGTTGCAAGGTCGAAAAGTCAACATAAACCGTTGGCCATTGTGGAAGTGCGCCCGCCCGTCACCATTGCGATTTTTGACTACAGAGTTTACAGAGTGTAGTAATTCCGCCGGGTCATTTATCACGGGAACAGAATGGGCTGGAGACAAGTCTGCAGAGGCCGGCCGCAGAGACGGCTTCCTTGGGGTTTTCGCCGTAAGGGCGTGAGGATGGGTTAAGGTGGCCATGGTGGTTGGTGATCGTCGTCGAGCGGACGCGTCAGACTCTGCCGCGTCACTTTCTCTCAACTACTGCATACTTGCAAATCACACATTTTCCAACAAAATCTGGCAAGAAGTATAGACCTGACAAGGCCCAAAACAGCGTTCCCACCCAATTAACAAGAATTGAATTATGCAAAGGAAACGAATACAAAAATACTGACCTGCACTGTTCCCAAGACAGCATATGCTATGGATTGACTTTCTATCTCCGCGCATTGCACTTTTTCAGTTGGCGTTGTGATGATTGCGCTATTACATTGCTGTGCTGTGCAGCTGCTGTTCTATCGTTATTCTTGATATCTTTTATTCTTTTGATCAGTTGGAAGGATCGGCTTACATACACATAAAGCACAGTCACTGTCGTGCATTGGCATAGTGTTGAACTGACGAACGTTGGCAAGCCTTTCTACTCGTGGTCGCCTGGTCCGCATCATGCTGCAGTGTTTGCTCAGGTCCCACTCTGGCTTTTCACACATATTCCGCTGTCACCGATGGTCTACCACATCCACATCCAGTCGCTTACCGTACGGATCGGTTAGCATCTCCCGTCGCTGCACTCGCACCCTCGAAACCCCCATCCCAGGCCGTTTTATCCACTGTGCAAAGCGAAATGAAGGACGCAACGACGTTTCAAAGGGACCGACTGCAGCAGGTAGAGACCGACGGACGGGTAGCATGTGTCAGATACTCGCGTCAATCCTTTTCGTAACTGTGTTCCCTTGTCTCGAACGTGGCAGATATTGGCGAATACAAAAGTCAAGTCCGTCAATTGAAACGAGAAGTGACTGAAGGTATAGTTGCCCGGCATGTGGCTTGTTGGGTCATCATCATAATAATGGTGCGGTATGCTATATCTTGTCACTCCCCAGTGAAATCGAAAATAAATCGAAAGAAGACTCTACAAGGTTCACAAAAGGTGGTAGGCCTTGCTATGATGAGGTGAGTGATTTGCAGATCTTGTCAGCCGTTTGATGTGAAATCCGAATATTGAAAACGCGCATTTGTTAGCAACATTGCCTTATTCTCTGGCAAGTTGTACGCAGCCATACAGTCGGGATCGGCGTCAATGTTTTCAGAGTGAGTGGTGACGTGCATCAGCCCTAGATCGCACCATAAACTGTAATATTTGCATATGTGTTCAGAGCATTACATTCCCTTGCAGATGGTGAGTACAAGATCTGATGAAGTTGCCAATGTCTGAATGTCTTCTAAGTTCTTCTTGTATTGGTGCACAGCTTTGAACGAGAGGTGAGGACCACATCGTACATGGGTGAATTTCACGAGATCTTATGATTTTATATAACCCTAGCCTGCTTATGTGGGGTAGGGAATCCTCTTGGATCCTCGATAATGGCTTTGAGTAACTCCTTTGTCCTCGCATATCACAGGAATATGGCGATCGTTACGAGAACCAGGTATGGGTGAATGTTACTTGTAATGTAAAATTGGATACATTATGCTTAGTATCGGAACAGATCCTCAACATCCATACGGCTTCACTGCTGAGCGCTACGCATGGGCGCTTGTGAGCGGCGTCGGTCTGTGCCCCCTCGTTTGCAAATGCGCGGATGAGTGATATCTTACACGATTTGGAACGGCAGGCGTCTTCTTTTTAGGTGGAGGGGTGTCCATTTATCATGGCATAAGCGGCCTCATGGCAGCTCACCACGCCCTTGGGGATGTTACCTCCTCTTGGATCGTCCTGGGCGCGTCGCTTTTGTTTGAAGGAGGTATGCATCTAAAGTGAAGTAATGAGGGTTACAGATGAGTTTATCTTTCCCGATAGGCACAATGACTTATGCCTGGCGACATATATCAAAGAGCGCAGAAGCAGCAGGTGTCAGCGTTCTGGAGTATTTGCGACGAGGGGCAGATCCAACCGCCGTACAGGTGTTTATGGAGGTATAAATGTCATATTGCACCAGCCATTCCGTGCTTCTGTATTCAAAAATATCCCTTTCTGTAGGATTGCGCGGCGGTTGCAGGAGTGGTTGTGGCGGGATCCTGCTTAACGCTATCAAAACTGTTGAACCTTCCTGTGATTGATTCGATCGGATCGATTACCATCGGGATATTACTGAGTTGCGTTGCAACATTTTTGATAAGAAGAAATATAGCCGGACTTGTAGAGACCAGCATGCCGGCACACCGGCAAGCAGAGATCGTTCGCGAGTTGGAGAGTGATCCCGTCGTCAGGTGAGCTACGTTCATTAGACATCGATAACATACATCCGAGATTTTGATTCGATGCCCGGCAGCTCCGTACAAGACATAAAATCAACTGCCCTCGGTCCCGAATGGGCGCGCTTCAAGGGTAAATATTTGTCCGTCGAGGTGCATTCTATTGCGGAACGCGATGTCATTGACTGGCTGTGCAGCCGAAATCCTCTTCAATGGAGAAGAGGTGACTCGCAGATACATCACTCGGAATCCAGAGCTATTTGCCATGGAATATGAACAACTCAAGAAGCTGAAAACAAGAGAGGAAGTGGAAGTTTGGCTTGAGAGACAGGGAGGTAGAGTCGTATCCACGTTGGGGAGCGAAGTAGACAGGCTAGAGTTCAACATAATGGTGAGTTGCATCCCAAAATTAGTTTGGCATGATTCCAATGTTTAACCATATTTTAAAGACCAAGAGACCGGAAGTGAAGCATATCGATTTAGAAATGTAAGACGGACTGGGGTAGTCGCGACACCTCTTTTAATTCAGAACTGACTTTCATGACATTGTTACAGTTTGTAGTCAAATTGCTTAAATGCAAAAGGGCGATACAGTGGTATGGATATCATCCGAAGGCCAAGGACCCGACCACGCGATCAGCCACGCGCAAACTGCGGTCTGAATTCAATCATTTTGGCATTTGTACATATTTTTGTGTAATAGATGCATGGACGTAATGCACATCGAGTTGTGATTATTTGGTTGATGCTTGCTAGAATTTTGTACACATGACCCTATCCGGGATCTCTGTCGGTGTGTGGCGATGATGGACGTCTGTCTGAGTAATGTCGACCGCCATCTTTATATGGTCCTCTCTGCTCATATGGTCCTCGCCCGAACCGAGGATGCATGCCAGGTTCCATAGGAAAATAAGGTCTACAGATAGCGATGTGACCGGGATATGTTTAGATATTTCAGGCGCACGAATGTAACTGAATCAGGCCTTCTCACCTATCGCCCCGCATGCCGCTTCGGCCGCTGGGCCTACCAGGCATCGGACCTCTTGGTCCGAATGGATCATATCCCGCTCCTGGCATGACGTCAGGAGGCATAAACGGTGGGGGCATATGTCCGTACGGATCCTGTAATACCACATAAATCAGTTTCCGGTAGTTCCACCCTCAACGCGCATACGCACCGGTCCCCCAAACATTCCCATAGGTGGCGGCCCTGCAATATATTAGGTAAGGGCCACGATCACGTCCCGCCACACCAGACATTGGACCAAACTCTCTTACCATTGAAATCTGGAGCGCCATATCCGTTCCCATGATACCGCATGTCACGTATGCCATCTGGCACTGGTCTATGATGGTGGCGAAGCTCAGGTTGATGATTACTGATGGAACGTCATATTTGATATACCTATCCAATCCTGGTTCAATTGGTGTGATTTCAATCACTTCCTCGTCCTCCCTCATCCGCTTTCCTGCATGGATATTCAGCTAGGCAGCCCGCATCGGACATTAAAAGCAAACTCAGAACGCGGACCTGGTCGCAACTCTTGGCCGGGTCGATGCACTCCCGGGTGGTACGGTGGCATGAACGCTTGCATGTCGGCGGTGTACTCAACTGTGTTCTGTTGTCTTGCGGCTGATCCCTGCTGTCGACGGGACGACGAGGTTAGAAGGCTCAAAAGACTGTCAAAAGACATATGCCGCGCCTCACCTGCGTTTGGTCTTCCCTGGTACCCTTCTGTTTTGCACAATAGGCTTTCCACGTTTGTTCATTGAATCCGTAATTGAAATAGTCGGTAATATCTGCACCTGGCTTTCTCCAGGGCTTATCCTCAAACGCATCGATGTCCACATCAAATATATCCTGGCCCTCGAATTGGCCAACAGCATCAATATCAACAACTGCTTTGACAACAACTGGAGGTGGGGCTGGTGGTGCGACGGTGCCGTCTACGCAACAAGTGAAAACAAATAAGGGTTATTTGCCCCCAAGGGTGAGGACATTCACACCGTACCTTGTCGGGGTATTGGCAGACCAACGACCCTTACGGCGGATCGTGTAATAGGACTTGGCCTATGGCGTTTTATCAGCACAGTCATTTCTCGTACAGCTCAAAAAAAATCCAGACAGCTTACTTTTCTACGGTTGTGCCATTCACCTGGTTTACTTGCGCCGGTGGAGCTGGCACTGTACTGGCCGGTGTGCTGGAGCTGGGAGCCGCGGTATCGAGGACGATTTCTATATCCTATCCCAAGACTGGGCTTTAATGCCAACATATCATAAAATGCTTAGAGACGATATGAGATACATCGTCGCTATCGTCATCCTCGTATTCGTCTTCTTCCCCCACTGCTGTCAACTGTTATGTTACTTGCTCCGCATAAACCGCTGCACGCAAAGAAGCACATACCATTCCGAACCCTCGTCTCTGCGCTTGAGTTCGCACCGATATCATATACTTCGTCATCCTCTGGGGGCTCATAAGGAACGTCGTCTTCTTCTTCACTGACTGGCTCAACCAAGCTCTGCTGGGGTTGCTCTAGAAGACGGGAAAGCATTCAAATTGACTCCACAGGAGCAGTTACGTGACGCTCAGGACTAACTCTGCACATCAGCTGTGGCCGACTCTCCGAATAGAAATTCATCTAGTTCGTCCATGTCGAGGCGGTTATCCGAGATCAAAGAAACCCAAGTTGTCAGTGAATTCATCTTCTTGTCCACGTGACACATTATGACCTCTTATTCAAAATTGAAGTTATTCAAGGTCTATTGCTTTGAGTTTATGCCATGTAAATCATCACTATAATATACAATCACCAAGACGCAGTCAATCGTCTTAACAGATTTGTTCACAGGCTATCAAACCACTATCAACTATATGCTTATGACGACGTAGTATCCCGGAGAGGGCGATGGAGAGGCTCGACTGCTTGCGGCCACCAATCTGGGGCAAAAGGTCGCACCTTCAAGCCAGTTTCAGAGACCAAACTCGCTGGAGCGTCTCCATGTTCGCTTGGCTTATTACCCTCAATGTTCATGGTCACATTCTCCAAACGCATCAGAGCCAATCCAACATTATATATCCCCGAGCAAACCTTCCCTACCCCACCTGCAGCGCGCCTCCTAGCAGGTCGTACTGGCTCTGGTCCCCCATTGATTGTGATATCTGTGTTGGGAAGAGGAAGAGGGTTGGAAAAGCTTCTTTCAACATGGATAGATGAAGGCGGGCTACAGAAAATCTGCATTAGTATGACTATCGCATATACAGTAGCCAAGTCAAATCAAAGACTAACTTGTCACTATCCTGGTAAAACTGTACCGGTACAATGCGTTTACGTGTTACACCGGTATGGTACGTCCGTATTGTCAGCTCTTGACCCAAATAACAACCTTTGCGGAAGTCCACTAAAATGACGACACACCGACTCGTATGAGCGTCGCGCTAGAGAAGTGGGTCATACCGAGTTTACCTCCAGACAGAAGATCTAAATTTGATTCTAGGGGAAGTGATACACCAGAAAAGAAGTCATCTGCGCCTTCGGGTATCCCATATAGTATACGTCTGACGGTGTATTCATCGAGCGATGTCTCAGTAAAACTAGACGGTAATGGCACTGCTATGTATGTTAGTTCTAATAGATACTCCTCGAGGAACGCGGTAGATACTCACTCAGTCCATCTCCCTCTACCACAACCCTCAACCCGAGCTCTGGATGACGCGGGTCCTTGCAACCCATATCACAGAATCTCTCTTTGGGCAACACGCTCCCAATGGGCATATGCTTCCCTGCCGCGCCACTAACTGTTGGGACGTAATTTCCCCAAAGAAGTGACGCCGTGGGGCCCCAAACCTGATACGCACGGTATCTCGCGCTTTCGTCAGATATCGAGAGCTTTGCACGTAGCTTGTACCGCTTGAGGTGCGCCAGCATGGCCGAAGTGTGACGAGCGTCATGCTCAATGATATAGCATGGATGAGGGAAACTATCGCCCTTATTTTTGGGGTAAATGAAGGCGTCATATAAGATCCTACCCTATATAACTAGTGTAAGTGGACGCCAACCTGCTCCTGTTAGTTTCAACTAGACTTACCTGTGCTGACAAAAAAGCGCAAAAAATACCGTCGCCCCCTCTTTCCACCTTTGATATTTGGTTTGTTACCAAACCTTGCAAAAACTTTGCTGCATCTGGACCATCTAACTGGAGAAACCCACGGTTGCTCAAGCATGCAAACTGGTCAGCGCTGTTGGAATTACGAAGATAATCCCGATAAGAGGATGTAGACAGCGTGCAAACTGCATGCTTTTGCCTTGGAAGTGTGAGTTTAGGGCTTCGGGACACGAGCAACAATGGAATGACTGTCAAACATGAGAATGAGATATTGCTGGTTGGCAAAATTGCGGTTTCAATGCTCACCACGACTCTGGCGTTCCCGAAGACAACGGGAGAAACTTGACGTGATCATGTTACAGGCTGTTGACTTCACAAGTCCAACTGTCGAGAATGTGTCAGCACGCTGTGCCATGACTGTTGCCAAGGTCGGTTGCTATGCGTGCTACCATCATCGCTCACGGACGCGCAGCTCTTTGCTCGCTGAATCTGTTAACGTTCGCGTATTAGTTGAAAGCCTGACGTTCATTATGGTGCGTTGTCGGTATCCTTTAAGAAATATGCAAGTCAGAGCATCCTTATGCATATCGTACTTTTAACCGGATAGGCCAGTGCGTCGGACCGACTAGTTGGAAGTTTCCTCATTCTCTTTAGTCTTTCAGTCTTCTTGTATTATACGCTTTGGACTCTTGTGCTGGTACGCTAGTCCAGGCCTGCAATCTCCAGAATATTTATAACGTTCCTCACCGTTATCCCATAGCCGTTTGTAGATACGACACACCCCCTCCACTCGTATTTTCCCGCCCCAGAATGGGCAATCCGTGTACCAGTAATTCTGTTAATAAGTGGGGTCTCCATGATTGTTGCCTTCATATCACTAGTTATGATTAGGAGCGGAAAGAGGAAGAAGAGCAGCTGATACAGCCATTATGACAGGGTTTTGCTAAACCCAATACGCTGACAGCCTGGCGACCTGTGAGGGTGGAGGGCTGAGGGAAGAGCGCGAAGTACGACGGTTAATGGCCTGGAATTTGGACGGGTTTATCGTGTTATGCTGATGATTATATATGAGAACCAGAAAAGAAGGAGTTGAGCAGTGTTGAGGGTGGTTCGCATTGACAGGACGGTTACCGTCAAATATACCATTATTGGGGATGATTCTTTGAATATAGTTTGCTCATTGTGCGTACCACGCCGCGATTGCTACGCCATGCATCTTTCACTGCTTTCTGCAGCTGAGTAACGGATCTGTGAACAGGTAACATTCACTATGGTGTCATGTGAATCATGTGTTAGAGTTAGGGTTAGGATGAGCGTGCCCTCGGAACCACGACTAATGTTCACCATTTCTCCATCATTCAGTAAGATAGAAAGTCAAGACATTCCTCTAGGTGCATTCACAGTTACAGCACCGCCCAATTTCACTAAGTTACTTGTTCCGATCTGATTAACTGGTCGCTATCGAATGGGCGTCGAGGGACAAAGATACTACGCCAAAATTGCTTCTAGTCACATCAGTGAATGATCTTCTCTGAGAGGTTGCAGATTGCCCAGGTATCAGCGTCAGGATGCCCATATGCACATCCCACACCGGAAGCCTTGCCGAACAGGATCCTACGCGCTGTTGCTTAACCTGTATCTTTTTCTCTGGGCGTACGGATAAACTGAGGAAGAGGATGAGATGACAACACGGCAAGCTTTCCACGGCGGCATCCGAGAGCGCGACAACCAGCGGTTTTGGCACCCTATTCCCACCTCTTCATTGTGTTTACCAAACTGACGGGCTCAAAAGGCCCGTTCTGCTCAGCTAACGTTGAAAAAATCTAAGTATTGAGGTACAAACTTTGCACATCGCCGTAACCTTTAACAGCAAACACAACACACATATCAGGACAACCAGCACAACGGCCCAGCCCGCTATTTACAAGGCCCCCCACCAGCTTGCAATAAGTAAGGCCTTTCGTTTCCGCCGTCCATAAATGATAAAAAGAAAGAAAAGCGGCATTTCTGGCCGCCATCGCCGCAGTAGAATGCTCCGAAAGAAAAGTCCTCTAGTGAGCCCCAGATCCTCAGGATAGCTTCATTTATCTAGCAGGCACACATTCCTGAAGACTCTGCATTTTCATCTCCATGCACTTGAACAGCGCCGGGTCGTGGCCCTTGCTGTTTTTGCCACAGAGACGGTGTTTCAGAAATCTGGACAGGTGGTATAGACGTCAGTAAGGGCTTTACTCGTGATACTTAATCATCTAGCACTCTCACCTTCCTTACAACTTCCACAAAAGCATCCATGACGCCAGTCTTTGTCTTTGCGCTGGTCTCGATAAACAGAGTGCCCATCTTCCGGGCAAATGCTTCCCCTTCCTTCCGCGAAACTTCTCGCACCCCGGAAGTGTCCTTATCGCATTTATTTCCCACAATCATTTTGATCACATCCCGACTGGATGAGTATGTGTCTAACTCTGTAAACCACAGTTGCAGGTGTTCGAATGTTTGCCGATTTGAAACGTCATAGACTAAATCGTAATCAGTGACATTTCCGCATAATTGTCAACTAAGTCAGTCGTCTTTCTTACCAAGAATCACACCTTGCGCTCCACGATAGTAACTGGATGTGAGAGTGCGGAAGCGTTCCTGACCAGCCGTATCCTGCAGAGGATGGTACGTTGGCGCGTCTCGTACTCCAATCTTGCTACAACACGTTGCCTTACCCAAATGGCCAACTTGAATCTCTTGTCGTCCACATCAACGATTTTCACTTTGAAGTCCACTCCTAAGATACGTGCGGCAGATAAATAAGTACAGACCTTCATCAAGTGTCATGTAGGTTTCGCAAGTTCTCTACTAGAATCCAAATCTTGACCATACTGAACCCTTGCGGCAAACCACACAATCCTACCTATTGTAGCAGATGTCTGGTCAGGTTGCAACCACGTATCGTCCGTGAACCTCAATAACAGGGATGATTTTCCCGTCCCAGAGTCCCCTATGAGAAGGAGCTTGAAAGTTGCAGAAACCTCACGATCGGGAGGACTTGACGCAATAGACATTATGTTTCAAAGGTGGTTCCAGTAAAATCTGCAACTCAGTGCTGCGGGATATGAGAGAAATAGCCAAAGACTTTGAATATACGGTGGGGAAAGCAGAATAGACTTGGATGAGGCTCGAATGGAACTAACCAGGAGAATAATAGGGATGGAATTTACTCTCTGTACGTTATATCAAAAAACACCGAGACAAGCAGCGTAAAAGCGCCAATAACTAAAATAAAAAAAAAACAAAGAAAATAGCAGAATCCAATGAGGCCGCCGCTGTTGATTTTCAAGTCGAAAAAGAGGTGGAAATGCGGCAATGGCACCAACGGAGTTTTCGATAGCGGACAGCGAGGGGTGAGCGACGGCACGTCATCTCGTGGTAGGATCATGTGACAACGATCGTTTCGGACAGGTTTTCGGACAGCAATGCACTCGTTTGGCCAAACGGTTGGCAATCTCCTTGCGAGATGGCGTCGGATACACCCAGCAAGCGCACGACGGAGAGCTTGAGCAGCTCATTGTTCGAGCTAAAGTTTGATTCAGGAGCGTCAGCGGGACCGTTTGGAAAGGGTTCAACAACATCTCAGACGGAGAGTCCTAATTTCCTGTCCCCGTTTCGTCAAACTCATGCGGATCGCCTATCGGAACGTTTATTCCCTTCGTTTGATAACGCACACTCGTCTTTGCTGGGAAGCGGAACTGTGTTTACGAGCAACCATGGGGCATCAACAGACTTTGGATTAGGTGGGATGGTGGGATTGAACGAGTTTCGAAACGACTCGGTTGTGCCTGCTGCAGAAGAACCACAATACACCTTTCCCACGTCGGCAACCAACGACGATGTATTTGGACTCGGTGATTTTCGGAATGTCTTTGTGACAGACGAGGATCTGGTGCGGTTTACATGCCTTTCTTTACGCCAGACTGTACCAGCTCATCGTGTTGGACTAGGAAAGAGCTCGAGAGAAGCTCCCTGAAGAAGATATCAAAACGCCAGAGCAGTCTATTCGGGAAATGGTGGCGCAACTGCAAGTGTGGGAAGCCAGCCGGCCAGACGTAGAGGAAGATGCTACGGAGGAATCAAAATTTGAATCCGCGTCCATCTGCTTTAACTTTGTAAGCTGCGGTTGACACCTCCTCTCGCGTCTGTATCTGTTGAATATCTTTGCATCATTGTTTAGATTGAACTGGGTTTCGGGAAAGTCATTGTGTCGTCGGATGGTCTCTACTGGCTGGGCGATCTGCTGATACCTGATCTGATGAGATCCGACGGTCACCCAGACAGTACATCTGTCCCGGTGCATCGAGAACGCCACTGCCTATCCTGGAAATACGATATCTTGTCTGATGTGCGATATAAATCTGTACCGGAAGACAAAGCATTGGTCAATTTCACTGTTTCAGATGAGCATTTCATACAATTTTCGTTTGTCAATGGTGAGTCCGGATACCAGATTATTATGTCATGTCTCCTGCTCTACTGACTACACCAAGTGCAGAGATAGTAGCGCAACAATGCACGCAGCGAATTGCGGAGCAGCAACGTCATACAGGGCCAACAGAGATACCCGATCGTGTAGAAAACGTTACAGAAAGTGAAATATCTCCGGCGACCACATCGCTGGTGCCACAAACTCCTGCTCCCCGACGAGTTTGGTAAGCAAGCACTCTGAAAACTCCTGTTCATCCCTTTCACAGAGTTCCATCTTACCGCCTATTTTGTTCTAGGCGTAACGCAGTGGGCATAGAAAGAGAGCTACACTCTCTAAGATCGTCAACGCCAATAATCGTTGGTACCCGAATGAGTGCGAACCCCGCATTAGTTAGCCTTAATAAGGAATACAGGTACCATCTAGCGGTGCTGCACGTACTACACTCTTTGTTTACATCTAAGTGCAACAACGATTCTTCGCAGTCAGCGGCGCGCCACAGCCCTGGAGGAACGTGATCGCATGGTAAAGAAGGCGGAAGACGAATATCAACAAAAATTGTTGCAGCTGGAGGAAGAGTTTGAACAACGACAAGCTGAGTTGGAGGTGACAGCCCACAGAGTTTTGCGGCTACGCCAGATTTACATGTTAACCGAATTTACCAGCAGCTGTCAATGATTGAAAGCGACAAGGAACATGATGCAGGTTGGCTTAAATTGTATTCTGTTAAACCAAGCAGCAGACACTGAGAGTTTGGACGTCCTTGTAGCGCCACGGGAATGTCATCTTTGCTTTGATGAACCAGAATCACGAGGTACGGGGCTTGAATTAGTCAGGCCGAGATTTTCAGTAAGCACTGATGTCTAGTTGCCCGCAGTTATTGAACCATGCGGTCACCGCATTTGCCATCCGTGCGCGACCAAACTACAAGAAACGACATCGCGATGTCCTTGGGACCGTGCCACTTACACAGATATTACTATGCTACAATCCGATGAGAACAGAAGGGTGCATGTAGTGATATGAACAGCCCCGCATCGGGACAATTATGCATCTGCGCTACAGATAGCTCGGGTTTTGTACCTACGGAATCTAATGTATATATGTTGCTATTGCTATCTACATACCAGACTGACTGCTTAACGCAGAGGCGTGCCAGCCGCATGCAAATATTCATTGAGCTTGTTGAACACTGTTGGGCTTACAACCCCTTGAAGCTAAATCAGAAGACGGCGTCAGTGAAATGAGAATTGCCCATGCTTAACAACAATAGAACTCACTTTTGGATGCGTTTGGATTACTGTCGCAACAGACTTTGCCAGGTAGCTTTTCGCGTCTGTGATGCCCGTCACATAGTCTTTCTTTTTCTCCCCCACAACAGTCAACTTTGAGAATGACGCCTGGTATCCAGCTTCCTCAATATCGAAAGTATACAGCTCCTCTTCCTCTGTGACAGTGCCGATTTCTGCCACAGGGGTCTCGCATAGCTGAATCAATGCGTCAAGCAATGGTTGCCTGTCGAAAGCATTATAATTGAGCCATGCATTACAACACCATATATAGACACCCTGACACTTACCAGGTTGGCAGATACGGATCTGAGAGCATTATTTGACTCTGTCCCAGGAGATTCGCCATTCCAATTGTGGAGATCTTTCGTTCACTTGGACTCAACATGGAGCCCAATTCGGGTATCAGCACATTCTGTAAGAGGTTGTTGAAGAGAGGGCTGATGACGAAGGATGGGTCAAATTTGTTTTGAACAAAAACTGAAACCACAGCCACTTACGCTTGCTGAATGCTATCAATGCTCCCAATAACGACGTCAATAGTAAAATTCTCTCTTTTCAAAACGAAGAGGAGTGAAATGAAGTTTAGAAAGCCCCTCGTGTACTTTGATGTCTTTCCTTGCATCAACCGCGTCAGCAGCAGAACGAAAATGTTCTTCATGTACGGCGTTAGAGTGTGTCTAAATCATTAGTCATGGTTAGCGAGCGACACACGAAAAAAAATCAGCAAGCCAAGCAACAAACTCACATGGGGATGTGCTCGAATACCGCAGACAACAATTCAAACCCGTGATGGTCGTTCACTCTCGAGCCAATAAGTTTATGTGACACGCCCAGGACTTGTTCAAGTAGCTTCTGTTCAACAAGGAACTCGGGTCCTTTGGCAAGGTACGATCGGAGCAGTCTCAGCAGAGCAGGGATACTTCCTGCATAAGGTACAAGTATGTCAAAAGCGGTGCCCAGTGAAGGTCTTGGAGTAATGCACCACTCACCATGAGATTCCCAAAGCGACGGCATAAGCAGAGGCTGTGCCATACTGCGGTAAGCCTCTGGGATTCCTCCTTCGGTATGAAAATCCAACATTTGAGAGAGAATTTGGAATACATATGGCATGAATTCTGTCAAATAAAGTTAGAATCAGTCAAGATATTCTTGACAGCAAGTTTCACACTTGCCGTCACTTGTAACTCACCTTCGATCGCTTGCGAGATGATTGCCTGAAAGGGAGGGAACAAAAGGCGCTCGAATTCTGCAACCAATGCGGGTTTGCGAGCACAAATAAATCTGCGCAAAAATTTCAACATCTGCTTTAATGTGCGTCCAAAGATATACGACAGACCTTATGATGGCTGCTAGTGCTTCAAACACGTAGTGATTGAACTTGGGATTGCTTGGATTTCTGCTTATCACTTCAATCACTCGGGTTATCCGTCCAACAACCTCCACAGCTACAGGTTCAAGCTCATGTTTGGCTACGATGACAATACGCATGGCGGCTGATAAGCAACAAAGATGAAATTAACATTAAAGAATAACACAGAGAACAATAGATCAGCGCATACTTTTCATCAGATAGTCATTCTCGGCAAGTTTTTCTGGGCTTGTGGCGTTTTTCTCGATAAGATCGAACAGATGCTTTAATATAGGGTGCGCTACAGATGCGATGTCGCTTTCATGGAATCTGTGCAGTTCAACATGTAACTTCTTCACCAATGTATAACTGGCGCACAACGCAACTTACAAGAAAGCGCCATTTGGCATCTTGGTAGCAAGAATTCGCTCAATGCAAACCGCTGCGTAGGTGTATACAACGTAGTTTGTTGATGTCAAGTGGTTTAGTAAGTAGGGAAAGACAGCGGATAATTGATCCTTTGTCAGCTGTACATTAAAAAGTGTTAGCAAGATTTATTGCATCTGTGGAATATGCCGTTATGGATCCCACCTGACTTCTGAAAACCATGAGAAACTTGATAGCATCCACTTTGATGATGGGATGAGCTGCGCCGTCCGCTGAACTTTGAAGTTCCGGTAGAATGTGTGTGGTGAATAATGGCAAAACCTCCATGAACTCGTTAACTCTGGTTACACCGGTCTGGCAAGAAATTCACTTAGCAAAGTTGACCCAAGCCACAATCATGAAACATTTCTTCCCTACCTGGACCGTCGAGGAGCGCGCCGATAGGGATGTTATAAGGAAAAGAGCCGTGTCCTTAGCTTTCCAATTGGCGGCTCGATCACTCTCGTAGCTCTGTACGAATTAGGATTGGTATGCGGTCTAGAGACGAACTGGCCATGGGTATAACACGAACCTGTAAGTATGCCGTCACATACTGGGAAAATATCGTAGTAACTTCCTGGGCAAAGTGCTCAAGTAAACCGCGGACAAGGTCAGAAGCAGCTCGTCGGCGAGTGTTCGTGTCTGGATTGGGTGATCATTAATCATGATTCAATACCCGGTAAGGCCGGGATGGCGAACCTGATCCCTCTAAATCACGCCGAATAAATTCGATCGGGTCGTCTTCGAAAAGTTCCTCATCTGACGCTATGAAGAGGATACGGATTCAGATGTAAACACAAATAACAAAGCAAGATTCATTCGTCCGTACCTCTTAAAGCCATGTTTGGCAGGACCACTCTCTCGCAAATTCCTCGCAACGTATCCGGATTTTGGAAAATATCGCGATGCCGTGCGGGATGTACTACGGACGTCAAAAAACCAATGGCTTTGCTAACAAGCTACCACGACAAAGGTAACTTTAGACCATAAGATCGTTTGGGCCGCTAACAAGGCTATCTGCACTGTACCAAATCATATTTGGGTTCCAGGCCGGTCGTCGTCAAGAGATTCCACACAGTTTCAACGAAAGCAGGGAGGTGTGTAAACTCTTCTTCGTATTTCTTGGCATACAAATCGAGATTCTCACAGATCGCTGCCTTTAATTTTTCGAGCGGACCGGCTTCATCCTCGTCCTGTCATTTGCAAGCCATAAGGCACATCATCCCTTTCCAATTAGACGGGCAACAATTAACTTACGGTGGTCTCCAACAGCGGATTCTTGTAGGTAAGGTACTTCTGAAACAACGCCATAAATTGCGCTTGGTTATCTTCGAAAAATTCTGGTATGTCTTGGAAATTCAGATCGTAAAAGATTTTGGTAAGGAGGAGGAGCACTTGGAATAATGGTTGCAGTGCCGCAGCATTATTTGTGTTGGAGTCCACAGCTTGATCAACAACCTATATATACCATCGTAAGTCACAATGCTAGCATACCGATGCGGATGACATTGGGTCTTACCTGAAAGAATTGCAAATACGGAACGGAGAATTGCTCCAGGACAAACTTAATCTCCAGGAACAGTTCATCAGTTCTAGTCATCGCACGGTATCTACAACAATATGTTCAGAAGAATTCGTCTTCAGATACTCGGAGACGTGCATGCCCACCTCTTGAAGATTGAGTGTGCCGTTTGTAAAATGCCTAGGTTCGCAACGTGATCGTTGGGGTTCAGCTTACTAAGTAGATCCTACAACATAACTCTTAGATGAGGTCTGAGAAACGAATCAAATATTTCGCAAAACGCACTGGAATGAGCTTCTCCCATTGCGCCGGAAAGTCATTATCCGCAATGATTGACACGGCTTCTCCAAGTTGCACTTGGAGGGTGCTGGGTACCGCCATCATTAAGCCCACAATGTGCTCTTTGATTGCGATCCGGTCTGCTGGTGATATCTTGTCTGGTTCACCTTCATCCTGTTTGGGCATTTGAGAAGATTGTCATAATGACAGTGTTCTCACGTTTGCACTTTTTTTACCTGTCGCCAATGCCGTTTTATAAAGTTCTTGAAATAGATAACTCCAGCAAAGCGGACTGTAGCATCGGTTGCGGGGTCATGTACTAGTTTCAACAGAAGAACGGGAAAATTTGGCTGTATCTCGACTGAAGTCAAGGACTGTTCCGCTAACATCCAAAAGTTTGCTGTCAGCTGGGAAGCATGTCGTGCGATGTGATGGACAAGATCCACCTACCACTCTTCCGCGTTGCAGGGTTTAACGTTTGTCCCAAGTAGTGTGTTAGGGCCGCAAAGTTTTCTGGGTTAGCCTCCATAACTTGTGCGCTTCAACGAAAACCAAATTTTCGAAAGGCCGCCAAGATCGTAAACGGAAAACTGCCAGCTGGCTTCGCTGTTCGACAGGCTGGACATCATTGAGGCCACGTGACTATAAAGGTTAGGTAAGGGGTCCGATGCGTTGGAGCAGGAAGGCGATCTGCAATGGACAAGTTTGTGATAAGAACCAAGCGAACGAATACGGCAGCAAAGGATGTGAAACCAGCAACCTCTTCTTCAGCTCATAAGACTCCAGAGTTTGGTGGACCATTCAAGATCGATCACTACCAAAACCCTACTGCCGGCCATCAAGTGAACAATGGAGGAGGAGTGCAAAGATATATGGCAGCGCGACAGTATAAGCTGAGTCAACAAAAGCCATCAAGCGTTTCGTCCATCTTTGATGGTGTTCACGTTTACGTAAATGGTAAGACCAGTTTGCAAGGACCTTGTGCTATCCGCGCTTCTCATTCTGGTGTAGGCTACGTTGGCAGTATGGACGATCTCGAGTTTCGCAAACTGATTCAGAGCCATGGCGGTACGATAGCGTTAACCTTAGCCCTCCGTACGGTAACCCACATGGTTTGCACGTCGCTGTGCGCCAGTAAAACGCAAAAACTACTTTCTGCTCGACGGGCAACGGTGAAAGTTGTTCACCCAGATTGGATAATACAGTCGGTCAAGAGTGGGAAAAGACTTCCCGAAAGTTCATTCGGAGTCATAAAGACTAAGATGGTATGTCAAGATGTTCAGTCTATTTTTGCTGTTGGTCAAACGTATTCTACTTGAAACCAGAAAGCGTTAGATAAGTTTCTGCCCTCCGACACTTCAGCATAATCGCGTAAATGTACATTTTTGTCAGGGCAGCATAACTCACAATAGAGCTAGAGATAATGTAAATAAAATGGTCCGTTTTACTATGCTATCATTGCGCAGTTGGGAAGTTCCTCCTGCTTAACAACATTCCCTTCAAAGTTCTGATTTCACTTTTCACCTCCGAAACCTTCTTTCCCCATTCGGCTGTGGCATCCGACCCTTTTGCAGCGAACGCATCGGGCTTCGAAAAGGTCGAATACAATGCGTACATGGAAGGATTGAAGTACGTCTCTTGTGACACAAGATGACTCAGCTCATCAACTGATTGTCGCAAATCCCGTAATGCCAAAGGGCCGTTCTCCTGTCCTTTTCCTTCCGAATCCTCAACTTGAGAATGCCCTCTCCTGTTCAGCAAGTCCAGTTCCTTAGTGACTCGAAGCAGTGAAGCGTCGGTAGATTCAAACGAAGCTCGAAAGACTGAACTAATTGTTTTCACTTGCTGTCCTATGGGTTGTGATGCCTCTGGTTGGTGCGCAAACATGTGACCCAATGAGGCAACTTTCTGGACAAAATCAGCGACCATCGCTCGTTGTTTTTGTAGATAGCTATCATAAAGGACTTTAAACCGCATCATCGAAGGTATATGGTAATGCTACAAAGCACATGCGTTAGGAAGATGGATGTGAGTAAAGTGAAAGAGGAAGCCAGTATACCCTGATGAAAGCCACAAGCGCGGATAGAGCGCCGCCACTGAGAATGAGAGCAAGAAGAACGTTCTTCCACATCTCCTTCCGCGACGTCGTTGGGATAGACTGCACTTGGAATGGCCTATTGGTAGGAAGACCTTGGCCTGATGTTGGAACAGATGTCGCAGGAGAAGGAACATAGCCGCTTGACGGTGGAAAGGCATTGGTAGGTAGAGCAGGTTGGCTGACGAACCATGGCAGAAACAGTAGTAGAATTTCAGGTCAGCAAATATTTGACAATGACAATACGGTGAAGATGACAATGCCAAAACAGAAACAGTAGACAGAGACAGATGCCCTTGCTCATTTACCTGATGTTGGATACTGGCTGCGGTTGGCTTGTCCCCGCACGACTTGTAGCGAGTTGGATTTCTTCTTCTGTGAGTCCCTTCTGTTTCAAGAACGCAACTTTTCGCTCTTGCGGGGACGATCGAACATTTGGAGATTGTAAAAATGAAACAGCTTGCGCAATCATGTCCTGTCGGGGAGCTTGATTCGTTTGAATGTGTGACGAGACGTTTGTTTTGGCTACGGAGGAGGGTGATGGGTGATTTCCGGAAGTGGAGGACGATGTTGCTGTGGGATTTCGCTCTTTGGGCTTGCTTTCTTGTTGGGCTGCCCTCTGCCGCTCCAAAAGTTGCTGTTTTATCTTACTCCTCTGCTCTGGTGTCAAGGCGAATCCGGCGGGTGATGAGGTCCCATTGGGAGCAGTTTTCACCACCGGCTGTTCAGCCAACGTGGCCTGCTCCTGCTCGCTATTCTCAGTGTTCTCTTGCGCTTGTCTACTCGCATGATCCTCCTCCACAAACGGCTTGTCGTCTGCCATTCTGCCGATCTGGCGATCCTATGAAGTACTTTTTGTATTACAATGTGTCATCAATCCGGCGCGGGCAATAAAAATAAACGCTACTGAACCGCCAAGCGCGTCGTAACGAGCTTTTCACACCAACAAACCTGCCCCAACCTTACATCGGCATGAGTACAGGGCAACAAGGCTCAAACGGTGTTTCCGGTTTCTCACGATATGTCCGTATAGGTGAGAGCCTTCCGGTAAAGGACGATCGGAAGTGTTTAGAACGGTACCTCACTATCTAGCGCCTCGCCAGATCCCCAAACATGGACAAACGTTACGGAGCAGTCTCGCGCGCGATTCGCAGGACTGAAGCCACTAGGGGACTTTTTTGATAAGAACAGGTTCAGAAAACCGAGCAACATTGGAGGTGAGTCGCTGGAATGGATATGCTGCCCAGAAGTCTTCTGCTCACCCCCACAGTTGTTTCGAAATAGTTTTCACCTCAAGGTTGAACTACAATTTGACATATTACCAGGTACGGTGTTGCATGCCCCATGGAATATTACAGAGGATGACTAACGCCTGGTGGTGATTAGAATAATTACATCTTGATTGTCCTGATTGTAACCGCATATCAGCTACTTACAAACTTGCCGCTACTGTTGATCATTCTATTTTTATTGGGTAAGATGGTTGTTTCTCTATAAAGAGCTGTATGTATCAAATATTTAGATCGGACACTTTTTTTCATTCCAGGTGGCTGGAAGTTCATCTCATCGCTCCCCGCAAATCAACCCACGACGCTCTTGGGTGGTACGGACAAAGATATGGACATCATATATTGGGTTCTTGACTCACTAAAATCATTTTATGCTAGTCCAAGTAACTTCTCGACAGCTTTGGCCTGCGTTCGCTATGACCGGGGTACTGCTTTTGTGGTTTTCGGATGCGACGGGCACAATCTTCTGGATGGTTTCTCTTTGTGCACTCATTATAGGATTCCATGCAGGGATGATGGAACCACCTGTGGAAGCCAGCTTTGCAGAGCAGCAAGTTTAAAACCACAGATTAATCAGGTCCAAGTTTTGTAACACTACATATATATAACTACAGAGTGATATGGATTCTATGCGTAAATATAGCGCAGAATATTCATGGTTGGATAGAGATCCTGCGCTTGCAGCTTTACTAGACAGTGTCACTTCTCGCAACAGCCAACCACAACATGTCTCTTCAATCCAGACTGATGGGGTCACACTTTATAAGCAAATCACAAGTCCATCGCAAGGTGCACTCGGTGTTCGTGAACGTTTTCAATCAGATGTCGAGGTGGGAGCAAAGGGGGACACATCTTAGCAGTGTACCTCGTGTGTGATAGCCATAATCCTGTTCATGTGCGGCTACCAAAGTATCGCCTCTTGCTGTCTTTGAAACTCAGGCTGCTTTTATCGGCCACCCCAGGCGACGTCATCATCATTCAAGTGAGTGCACACCAGTTTTACTCTCAGGGATATACTGGGTGGAGGTTGGCGAGCATGTCCACCTAGGCTGGTTCGCTGTGCCTTGTTCATAAGTTCCTTGTTATCGCAGATGCCGCTGTTCTTAGCGGTCAGGGATGGTTACACTGCATGTCACCGTCGGGTTCGCTATGCCTCGGTCCAAATCATGGAGGGCGTGCAGGCCCGTCGCTGGCATCTCGTCGTTGAAGCACACTACTTTACAGTGAAATGATTTGAAGGTGAATCGCTCCACTCCGCTTGCAGAGTCATCCACAGCCTCTTCAAGTTTATATATCTGTGTTTAGGCTCAGCACGCTAAACAGCGCACCTTTGGACTAGGTATTGGCGTGGATAACTTTGTCTTTGGTGATATTGGATTGACTTCCATGCGTTGATGCTCCATTCTTTTTGCCCTTGCGCTTATCTTTCTTAGTATCTCACTGCTTTTTCTTTCCGCGTGCGCTTCTATGATAGGTGCCGATGTCCGTGCTACCGGATGGAGTTGTCAAATACGAATATCCCGTTTGTAGCCTCGAAGTATCAGGGAAGGAAGACTGCAGCGGTTGTAACGAACTGCTATCTTTGACAACAGCAAACCTGGGCTATTGCTCAACGAAATACGTTACTGTTTCTTCAAACATCCCTGTGGCCCAGGCGAAGTCACTGGGCAGTGTTTATGAAGTTTGCTTTTTCGGTCACTTGTGAGGTGTAGTTCTGAAGAACCACAGCTGTATCGGGTCCGGCTGTTTCCGTTAACAAAAACGGTGTAAACCCTAATATAAGCAAAGTCAAGCGACATCATGGGGGCTGGACAAGGCGGCTGGTCAGGGGGGCAGAAACGTAATCGCGTTAAAGTTTAACCACGTGACAGTGACAGCCGACTGGCCATTCCTGGGTGGTCGATCGTTTTCGTTCAATCGAGGAAATGCAAGTAGGATCAGACAATGGCTAGAAATTATTGGTCTTCACCCCACCGGTTAAAGACCAGTATGGGCTTGTTTACTATCATATTCTTGCTCGGTGCGGCCTTCGGATCCGTATACGCAATGCCACAACCCTCGGTCGAACTCAAGCATGAAGTTACCTACTCGTCCGTTGGGGACGAAGTCAGCCTCTCGGTCCGTCTCGCAAAATCTCCCTACTTGTCTATTAAGCTGTGCTTATGAAGGTTTCTTTGCGTTCTGATAGCACTGTCGGGATATTGGAAAGCTGCCGGGAGACAAGTGTCAATACGTTTTGGAAAACTGTAGCGAGCCCACGAGCGGCTTTGGGAATTACCTGGAATTTTATTACTGCACCATGCGGAATCATCAAATAATTGGTTGTGGACTTCTGGTCTGTGTTGTCATGTTTGTAGAAAGGTCCTATGATGCATTGCTGATTTTGGGTGTAGCTATTTGCCACGATGTACACCTTTTTGATGCTGGGGACTGCGGCAGGGGAATACTTATGTATGTTCTTGCCTATAGGCTAGATTGTAGCTTCATAAAGCTAACACTATCTGTATTTTAGGCCCAAATCTCTCCAACATTTCCTCATGGCTTCATCTATCCGAGTCGGTCGCCGGGGTGACATTGGCAGCCATTGGTAAACAATGAGCGAGGGTGCCTATCTATGTTATCGCCTGCTAATGATATATTTAGGAAACGGGGCCCCCGATCTCTTCTCGACGTTCTCGGCTATGAGGGCAGAAACCGCGGGTCTGGCCATTGGAGAGCTTTTGGGGGCTGCCATGTTTATTACGTTGGTGGTAGTGGGAGCAGTTGCCATCACAACACCGTTTAAATTGCCACGGTATGCCGGTTTCGGTGTTATAATGCAATGAAACTCAGCTAATGGCTCTTGTCTGAACGGCTCATGATAGGACAGACGACCATTTATCAGGGTAAATGTCGCTTTTTGCATATCTTTGATATTCTCTATCGGATGGCTGACTTGTATGCACCTAGGATGCGGTTGCTTTTATAGGAGCGTTATTACTTGTTCTCATAATATGCGCGGATAAGAAGATTACTCATCTGGAAGGATGGACGCTAATTCTGTACTATATGATTTATGTAACAGTCGTCATAGTCAGTGCTTGGATTTACCGTCGTCAAAAAGCAGAACGACTGCAGAGTCCGCCTTTGGAAGTTTCCGACCCTCACCACTCCAACGAACCACGGGAAGGTAATGATTCATTCGACGCATCGCACAATGCCGCGCTTTCTAATCATGATTATTTGCGCAGAATTATCGCCCGTCAGTATACCAGCGACCCCTCTCTCTGTGGTATGGACAGGAGTGTCTGAACGAGACATGCCTTTTTTTGAAACCGATGCGCTTCTTGGGAACCGCGAAGATGATGATGACAGTCTTTACGATGAAGACGGCTTTGACGCCGAGTTCTTCCTGCCTCACTTCAAGCCATCGAAATTGCCCCATGATTTTCTAAAATTACCCACAAGCGGGGTTTTGGTGCGTTCATGGTCCTCGCACAACGACAATTTCAGGCGAGCGAGATCTCGGTCACCCGAGCGACGTTCAAACCATCTCAGCGGATACGGTTCCGAGGCGGGCGCAGTGGTGCAGCCTACTGAGTTCAATGGTAGCCCAGTGTCGGCAACACCTGCCAATGAATGGGAGGCGGTACAGTCTGTTTTATCGCAACCAGACGACGGGACCCCGCGACTGTGGGATGTTGACGGGGATCATGGTCTCACTGCACTAGCCTACTGTGACCGGTTGTGGGCGGCATGTCTGCATTGCCGTGATGTGCTCGAGCGACTGTTTCCCGCACTATTCAAATGGAGGTCATTGTCCGTATGGCAAAAAATGCAGGCTTTTCTGTTCCTCCCACTGTATCTTGCCTTCTCGCTGACGATTCCCGCTGTGCACCAAGAAGAGATGGAATTAGATATACGTAGAGAGAAGGCTAAATCAGAACGACAGTTGACGGATACCGGGGACATTCTAGTAAATTCGGATGAGCCCGAAGAGGACGGAGACGTCAGCCTGGTGGACGTGGAGGATAAGGGACCTGTTATTACCTTTAAGACTCTCAATCGCGAGCTCACCATAATTCAGCTTGCGATTGCTCCCATTTTTACTGCATTCGCTCTACAAGGTCAGCTTTGGGCTTATGGCAATGTACGGCGTCCAAACGTTCTAACATTCTCAACAGAGCTTACGTCATATGTTGGAAATACGCCCATCCCCGTATGGGTATTGTGCATCGCGCTGGGAGCAGTCCTGGCTACTGTTGGATTCTATGCGACGCGTCACAGAGCGGTGATAAAATATGGTAGAATATTGGCTCTGTGTGGGTTCTTTATGTCCGTGATCTGGATATACGGTATGCACATTGTTTTGAATTTGATAACGGCAGGTCTGGTCTGTATGTTGAATGTTCTACAGTCATTGCCAGCGAAGTCGTGGGCATGCTGGGCGCTATGGCGAGCATATTTGGAGTCAGTGAAACAGTAATGGTAGGGTCATAACTCGGCCGATCATATGGATGAAATCACGCTCACGATACATTAACGTAGGGATTGACCCTGTTCGCCATAGGAAATAGCGTAGGAGGTAAGGTGACCTTGGATCGGGATACAATTGTAACTGCAGTTTCAACTTATGATACCCTACAGATCTCATGACGAACATCAGTATAGCACGTATGGGCTATCCGACAATGGCTGTGGGGGCTTGTTTTGGGAGCCCTATGCTCAGTAAGTAACGCGGTATCGCGCGTTTATTCGTTGCTTGTTTTGACAACATGTTCATTCTTAGACCTGGTACTCGGCATCGGTGTCACATCTACATACATCACGGCCATAAAAGGAGAACCTTACCTTTTACGACACTCCCTGACCCCCGCATATGTCTGCGCTGTCTCACTTGTGCTTGCGCTATTTGGCTCAATCATATACATTTCTGCAACTGGCTTTAAAGCAACAAGAAGATACGGGGCAGCACTCATTGCTCTCTACGGTGTACTCATGGTGGCTATTGTGCTGGTTTCTAATAGTGGCTATTGAGATGTCGCTCTGGTTCTTGTGATTTATTTGAACGCTTATTCTAATTTTTGGAAAATACTTTCATAAATATAACTGTAGATGGCTGTTAATAAGAGGAGATTTCTTTCACTTCCACTTGCCGTACGTACTTTCTTGTATTCGTTGAGTTGCTGTTGAAAGCCCCAATTGATGAGCAAGCAGAGTCACGTGAGACTGGACGTCATCAACGGCCGCCGCTCACCAGAACCGCTCGATGTGGGGCGAAGCTTTGAACTTTCACAGCGTCTAACCATCACTGAAAATCTAGCAGCCATGTCCTTCCTTAACAACATTATGAAGAATATGGACAAGGTCCCCTTAGACAAAATCCAGGGGGTGAGTTACTGCCGTTTTAGATGGAAGATGATCTTGCCCTCAAACCGCTCGACGATTTTGCAGATAGTCAAGGAAAAGTTCAATGTGGACTTGCCCCTTGGTAATCAGCAGCAGCAGCAGCAGCAGCAGGCGAGTAGTAGCTACGGACAAAACCAAGGGGGTTACCCGCCGCAGCAGGGTGGATATGGTGCTCCACAGCAAAATTACGCTGGTGGATATGGTTCTCCACAACAAGGTAACCCCGGTGGATATGGTGCTCCCCAACCGAGTGGGTATCCCCAACAGGCTGGATACGGACAGCCTGGAGGTTATTCGGCGCAACAGTCGGGCGGCTACTCTGGCGGACAACCCCCCAGCTACGGGCCTGTTCAGGGAGAGGAGGCTGGTATTTCGGGAGCTCCTACCATTGGGTATCATCATGTACCTCAAGGGCAACCTGGTCATATTCAGCAGCAGCCTTTGCAAGTTGCAGCAGGTACCCCTCAAGCACAACAATGGGGTACACAGACGACTGGGTATGTCGAAATTGTGCATCACTAAGAAATAGGCTTTGCTAATGTGGATAATCCAGTGGGAAGCGGCGGGCGCTTTTTATCGGTATCAACTACTTTGGACAGAAAGGGGAGCTCAAAGGATGCATCAATGATGTTCAGAACGTCCACAAGTGGTTGACGAGTAACTATCCTTTTGCGGAGATTCTCGTGCTGACGGACGATCAGCAAGATCCATCTCGAAAACCCACACGTGCCAACCTGCTCAATGCTTGTCGTTGGCTTGTAGAGGGCGTTCAGCCTGGCGACGCTTTCTTTATACACTATAGCGGTCATGGATCTCAGCAAAAGGATACGAGTATGTCTAGCGTAAAATCTGCTGCTTTAATGATCATGCCTGATTGACACGTCTGTGAATGATGATATCAGGTGGGTTAGAGAAGGACGGCTTTGCGGAAACTATAGTCCCTGTTGATTACGAGGCAGCTGGACAGATTACGGACGATGTAAGATGGCAAGAGTTCATCGCCCAACCTGTACATGGAGATCTCATCTTGTTTTGAAAGGAATTGCACGACATTCTTGTGCGCCCGCTTCCAAAGGGGTCCCGTCTGACGGCTATCTTCGATTGTTGTCACAGCGGATCGATCCTGGATCTCCCCTTTACCTACACCGTCGATGGTTCCTTGGAAGTCATTGTTCGTGACAACCGAAACGAAGCCATCAAAGCTGGTATAAAGGCGGGCCTGGCCTTTTTCAAAAAGGATAATGCCACCGCTCTTAGAGAGGCGAAGCAAGTCTTCTCTCTCCTGACCCAAAAGCCGGATGATCCGGCGCAACATGAGCAAAACGTCAAGCAATATGGATCTGATGCCTTAGTCGTGCAATTTTCTGGGTGTCGAGATGATCAAACCAGCGCGGATGCAAGCATCGGTGGCGAAGCGACGGGAGCAATGAGCTGGGCACTGTTGAAAACTTTGAATGCACACCAGCATCATATGACCTATACCGAAGTCCTTCGCGACACCAGACAACTGCTGCAAGGCCAGTACAAACAAGTAAGTCATGACTTTCAACCAAATGAGGTATCCATCCTTTTTCGTCGGTTTTCTCAAAATTGTGGAATTTAGATCCCTCAAATGTCCACGGGTCACCAAATGGATGTCAGCAGTATGATGTTCTCCGTCATTTAAGCGTCATGCATTGCCGATTGTGGCCATTAGTTGATATATGTATAAAACCATATTTTTTGTACTTCTGCATATCTTGGGCGTTACCGCAAAATTAAAGAGGACATAATGCACACTTTGGGTTGATCCCTCTAATTTTGAAACTATCCTGGGCTTTAACGTGTTGGGAGCGTCGGACGGTACCCTGATAGCAAACACTGTTGGGCCCACGCTTATGAAGCCACGTGAAATAGCAAACACACAGCGGAGTATTTTTTTTTTATAACGCAATATACCGGACATTTTCATGCACTTGGCAGCAAGGGATTTCATTATTTGTGAATCTTTAGGTGTTTATCCTATCATGTTCATCAAACCTCATTCTGTTGCAATGTGACGTATTGTACGCTGAAAATCTACAAGCACCTGCAAACTCTCAACGTTTTGTCCATTGTTGTGCTGTCAGGGGAGATGGAGGGAACCCTCTGCCCGGACCTTTCCACGGACAAGCAGGGACATTTTAACGCAAGTATTTGGCACAACATGTTCACATAGCAGATCCAGTATTTGCTGCTTACCTGCTTACTAGTCGCGTAACGCGCAAACAAAAAATGTTCAAACTCCGACTTGCCCATGTCGGTCCCAAATCCATTTCACTTCCATACGGTTTTGGCCCTTTGCGCTCCATATGCACATGCAAACAAACAGATAGGCCCGAGTGTACTTGAGACATCCAGGAAAACTCCGCATAATACAATACTTCAATATAAATATCTTTCAATCATGGAACTATCAGAAAACCCCAGTTACCCGAGCCATTTATGGGTAAGCCCATCTCGAGCCCAGCTTGAGCACTGCTGGCCCGGGTCTGCCTGAGAGAGTTTCTTATCATTAATGGAAACTCTATCAGACATAAAAGCAGCCGTCCTCCCAGTCATCCCCCTCCACCATCGCTGCTCGCCCGTCCTAATTTTGATCAAGGTCGGTCGTCTACTACTCTATCTTTTCCTTGTTTCTGCATCACTCTCCGGGACACAATGTTCGGCAAGCAGAACAAGTCCAAGAAACTCTTTTGGCTCGCCATCGCCGCCCTCGGCGCCGGTCTCGGCGTTGGTGTCATCGCCCAAAGCACCGTCGGGAAGGGTACATACAAGCGCGTTGGAGACTTTGTCGGTAACACTACCCTCCTCAGCGCTTGCGAGCTCGCCTGTATCGACACTCTCGAGGTGGTCCCTGGCTCCAACACTGCCACGATCAAGGGTGACAAGGCCAGCAATTCCACTGTTGCCAACTGTGTTTGCAAATCCTTCCAAGTAACCGTGACCGCCAATGGTGTCTCTGCCTCTAACATTCAGCTCGTTGAGGGCGGGCCCACCTGGACGGTCAGCGGCAACTACACCGCGCCATCCGGCTCGACTGCTACTACTTCCACGAGCTCTTCGAACTCCACTACCTCCACCAGTACTTCCGCTGCCGCCGGCGGCGGCAGCGGCGCGGCGAGCTCAAGCGCAGGCGGCGCTGGCGGCGGCAGCAGCCCGACTCCTAGCGGCGGCGTGGGCGGCAATGGGATAGACACCTCTACATCAGGTTCGGGATCTGTTTCAGCATACTCTTCGGCAGTTGTGTCGGCTTCTAACCCTGCGTCGACTCCATCATCTCCCCAATCTTCTTCTGCTGCCGGAATCTCATCCCAATCTGGATCTATCTCCTCCGCTGCTTCTTCAACACCCGCGGCTTCATCACAATCTTCTGCCGGGTCAATCTCATCCGCTGCGTCCTCCGCTTCCGGATCGGCTTCATCTGGTTCCTCTGCGGCTCCCACATCGGTTTCTTCCGGATCAATCTCGTCCGCTGCTTCGTCTTCTGGATCGGCCTCTGGTTCCTCTGCGGCCCCAACTTCGGCTTCTTCCGGATCAATCTCGTCCGCTGCTTCGTCTTCTGGATCGGCCTCTGGTTCCTCTGCGGCCCCAACATCGGTTTCTTCCGGATCAATCTCGTCCGCTGCTTCGTCTTCTGGATCGGCCTCTGGTTCCTCTGCGGCCCCAACCTCGGTTTCTTCCGGATCAATCTCGTCCGCTGCTTCGTCTTCTGGATCGGCCTCTGGTTCCTCTGCGGCCCCAACCTCGGTTTCTTCCGGATCAATCTCATCCGCTGCTTCGTCTTCTGGATCGGCCTCTGGTTCCTCTGCGGCCCCAACCTCGGTTTCTTCCGGATCAATCTCATCCGCTGCTTCGTCTGCTTCCGGATCTGCCTCGTCTGCTTCCTCTGCGGCCCCAACCTCTTCGGCACCATCGTCCTCTGCTGGCGTCGCTTCTTCTTCTTCCGCCTCCGGATCGGTTTCATCGTCTGCCGCTGGATCTTCTTCCTCGGCTGCAGCTACTTCCTCCGCTGGAGCATCATCGTCTGCCGCTGCTGCTTCTTCTTCGGCTGCAGCTACTACTTCTGCTGCAGCATCTTCATTCGGCAGATGCTTCATCCGCTGGACATCTTCTACATCGGCAGCTGCATCGTCCTCTGAGCAAACTCGTCAGCCGGCG